TCTGCACGTAAGGACAGAATAAAGGACTCCCCCCCCCACCAAAAAAAAATTACAAAACTGATTTAAAATGAATTCTGAAGAGAATTTTTCGTGGCGTCTGTGCATAACTCAAATACGACTAACCTTAGAACATTGAAATGTTGTAAGTAGGACTGCTATAACATGTAGATGTGCGCCTCGTATTTTGGTTACAATTGGCCGCACCAAAAGTGTGGCTCAGTGTCTTTATTCTGGTTAAGATTTTTATGCCTTTAGTTAACCTGCATGCAATAATTGTGGAATTATCGGCAATACAGAAGTTTTTTAAGTGCGACTTCTTTTTTATTACAATGGCGGCCCTTTTTGTTTACATTTGCAACTTAGCAAAATAGTGGAATTTGCTGCCAATCTAGAAAAACTAAGCTTCGCAACAACAAAACACCTTCATCTATTATTACGAATTAAATCCTGCTTAATTCATCCTGGAATTTATTCGAGGAAATAAGTGTTTAAGATTTACTTTGTAATTTTAATATAGATATTTTGAGTTTTTATGTATTTTTGCCTTGTTACGAAGTGAGAACTGAATTATTTGAATGAGAAATACTGAATCGTCTGTGAAAAACTGTTTCTTTTTTTTTTTGTTTGTTTAATTTTTATACATCCTTTTAGATTTATTATAGTATTTGAATAGAATGTGTGGCAACAATAAGATAATTCTTCAGATGATATAAATTTTGTGCATTCTGAGTTATAAAATGACAAATGAAATATGCATTTTTTCCTCTCTTGATGCGATCAGACAGATGAATTTAGAATGATATGGGCAGACGCAGAGACAGACACAATATCTTCACTTTCGGGTGTTAAATAAAAAAAACGATCAGGATATGATTAATGAAGTACCTAGTAGGCAGACTGCTTGAATAGTTTACTTAAAGAAAAATACTGATGAACTGCAAGCAGATGCACTTGAAAACCTCCGAGGAAAAGATGTGAATGATAAATACCATGACTAAAGATATGAACAGACAATATAACAAGATGTACCAGCAAAGCCTGAAATTAACAGATTTGGCGCACTTATTGAAAAGAAAGTCGTTCCCACACTTGAGTCGCAAGCAATCAGCACCAGCTCATAATACAAATAATGACAATGAGAATCTTGACGATGAGGAAATGAATAATGACATTTCGAATGCTCTTATGCAAAATCAAGCGAAAACTTATGTGAGAGATTCCTACAAAGAAAATTCCTCCTAGTGTTATCCCGAAGACTGACATTTGCTGGCGGCGTATTAGAAAGAAAATTAAAGAAAAGCTTCAGGTAGGCAAACTCGAAGAAGATGGTTTGAAAATAAAATTCTTTAATGTTGATGATTTTCGTAGGAGAAACTTGAAAAAGAAGAGATTACTTTCCATACTTTCTTGCTAGATCCTAAGAAAAATTTAAAACCAGTAATCAAAGGTTTAACCATTGATACCCTAGAAGATGAATTAAAGGAAGAAATGGAAAGCTATGGTATCAGCACAATTAAATGTCATCAACTCACATGAATGAGGAAAAGAGTTCCTACTCTGCTTCTAGTTTTTTTTTTTTTTTTTTTATGTTCATACTTGCCAACCTATTACACTCAAAAATCAGGAGATTTTTCACAATGTTAAAAAGACTTTTTAAATGATAAAAATATAGTTTTTAATAATGAATTATTTTTAAATAGTAACTAATTCTTAAATGCAAGCAACACAAAAATACCTTACACATAAAAAACATTTTTATTACTTGCATCGTTTAAGGGGGAGAAAGACACTTTAATCCGTTTTCGTACAAATGTTATGAACAGTGGCAGATTTCGATTTCATTAAGAAAGAAACTTCATAATTTTGTTCATAGCAATTCCCACATAGGCCTGCTTTTGCTAATAAAAGTTTTTCTAATGTGTCATCACTAATAATAAATCTAAATTTAGTTCTCGTTTTTGCAACAACACTGAAAATCCTCTCACAGTCTGCATTACTATGGGGAACTGTCAAGATGGCCAACATAATTCTAGACAGTTCACTATATTTTAAAATTCCATCAGCACCTTTCAGTTTTCCAATTAAAATCCACTAGGTGTCGATACTAGCTGATTTTATAACTTCATCCAAGTTTTCTAATTGCAAACTGCTGTTCGAACTGTTTCAATTTTCCCTTCCTTTTAGAACTCCTTTCAAGATAATAACAAATATCAACAATGCGTTCATCCACATTTATTGGTAAAGAAGCTGCCGCTTTTTCAGCTGCTAAATTTAAGAGGTGACAGGTGCACCTCATAATCTGTAAATCTTAATTTTCCTTCCTTAAGATGCCTGCAACACCAGTCTTCAAGCCTACCAATACTGGTGCATTATCAGCATCAAGTGCTAAGCAATTATCCAGATGGACTGCATTTTCTTTTAAAGTTTTAATAATTAGTTGTGCTATATTAAAGCCTGTCAAATATCCTTCTAAAGTGGGGACAGAAAGTTAACTGCACTCATTTTCTGAAGACTCTGGATTAAAAAAAGAAACAACAATTGGAAACAGTTTTGAATCGGCATTATTGCTTCCATCCATAGAGAGGCAGAACTCAGCTGTTTTAATGGATTCAATAACTGAAGATTTATTTTTCAAACTCTTTTTTTTTTTTAACAACTACACCTGTTTTGGTTCTTCCACTTGAGTATTTTTTAGTGATTTCACTATCGAGAAACATTTTTCTAAATAAAGCTGCAGCATGATACGATACATTCAGCGGCAGGTTGTGCTCCAGTAAAAAGGCAGATAACAGACATTCAGCATTAATAACTTTTTGGTCCTTTGTTTCCGAAGAAAAATGTAATTTTTCGTTTTTTTCAAAACCACTCATGTTGTCCTTGTGTTTTGTGTACGCACATGTTTGAGAACATCCACCCTTCCACCATGCGAAATCAAAAAATCAAAACGACAGACGGTACACATTGCAAATTTATGACATTTCCTTGAGGAAATAATGGAAGGAAAGTCAACTGTGTGCAATTTTTGAAACGTACATGAGTATTTCACCTTTCTTGCAGACATAATAAAAGATGATATTTTCTAAAACTACGAGGGAGAGTCAAATGAAAACCATAATTATTTTTTTTAATATTATTTATTGGTCACACAGGGTACAGAAGTAAATCACTTTTCAACATAGTCCCCTCCTCGTTCAATGCAAGTCCACCAGTGCTTCGGAAGAGCCTGAATACCTGCAGAAAAAAAGTCTTTTGGGCGACGGCACAACCACTCATGCACCGCGTTGCATACCTCTTCATCGGAGTGGAACTTCCTGCCCCCATTTGCTTCTTTGAGCGGACCAAACAGATGGAAATAGCTCGGTGCGAAGATCTGGCGAAGTAAGGGGGATGTGGGAGGTATTCAAATTTATGGTCTGTGATGGTCGCAACCGTTGCACGCGCCGTATGTAGGCCGTGCATTGTCGTGTTACAGCAGCACACCAGCTGACAGTTTCAACATCGTTTCCGGTTGACATCGTTTCGTTTTGATGGCAAGCCGGAGATGATTTTTTAGGAGGTCCGAGTACATAGCACTCGTCACATAAGTTCCTCGTGGCGTGTAGTGTTCCAAGATGATGCCCTTTTCGTCCCAAAAGAGGGTCAGCATAACCTTCCCTGCAAACGGCTGTGTCTGAAACTTTTTGGGTTTTGGTGATGAGGATAGGCGCCACTCCTTGCTCGCTCATTTTGTTTCAGGCTGATGGTAATGCACCCATGTTTTGTCACTAGTGACGATTCGTGACAGGAAGGCATTACCGTCACGTTCAGCACGCCACAAAAGGTCTTTGCACGCATCAACACGTCGCTGTTTTCAGTTTCAGGCGTCAGTTGTCGGAGCACCCATCTTGCAGACACCTTATGAAACCGGAGAACATCATGCACAATATGATGTGCCGATCCATGATTCATGTGTACACATGCTGCAATTTCGTCTTATGTCACACGGCAGTTTTCCAAAACGATGGCTTGAACGGCTGAAATAGTCTCTGGAGTCATTATGCGCCGAGCCTGGCCGGGGTGTGGAGTATCAGCCACGGACGTAACACCATTTGCAAATTTCCGGCATCATTCATAGATTTGTGGCTGTGACAAACACGCATCTCCATACTGAACCTTCATTCGCCTAAAAATGTCAATTGGTTTCAAACCTTTACTTCGCAAAAACCGAATCACAGAACCCTGCTCCTCGCTGGTGCATGTGGCTAGTGGGGCTGCCATTTTGGAACTGTTGTTACGCCGGTGTTTGTGCGTCTGCCGGCTGCTGCCACCTAGGAGACATCAGGCATACTATCGCAAACAGGCATGCCAACTTACAGCTCACTGGGGCCATATGCGGATTTTTATTTCTACTTTTATGGTTTTCAGTTGACTCCCCTACGTATTTCCCGAAGGCACGTGTACTCACACAACTTAGGACAAGATGAAAGAAATAACTAAAGAACATCCAAATAACAGCTTGCTTTGTGCTTATTGGCTAATATATGGCAGATGACACACAGTGGAGCTTGATGCCCATTGGAGAATTGGAGAACAACATTTCTGGATACGTATATGCTCTCACTCACAAAGCAGAAGTTCCTATTTGATTCGCAAGGTTTTGTTTTAGATATAATCTAGAGAAAATTCAATTGCTTTCAGACGTCCAAAAATCTTTTTTTTTTTTTTTTTTTTTTTTTTTGTTCATAAGCCAAGTTCCATAAAAATCGTGAGAAATTTTAAGAATAAGAAAATGTCGGGAGAAATATATTGTAAATCGGGTTGGCGGGAGAGCGGTCGAAAATCGGGAGTCTCCTGCCTAAATTGGGAGAGTTGGCAACTCTGTATGTTGAAACACCCAGAACACCTGAATTATTAATTATAATTTTAGAAAAATAATGTGGATAAATTAGAAAATTACATTTATTCATGTTCCAAAATTAATAAGCACAACACACTTAAATAACACTATACAAGAAACTGAATATTATTTACAATATACATTAAAAAAAATTTATTCATAAATATACATCAATTTTCTATGTACATAAGGCTTCATAATATATAGCTTTGAAGAGCTCCAAATCAATCGATACATAGTTTTCTACAAATTATGTTTTTTCTTTACATATCTTTAAATCACTGACAGCAGTTCAACTTTAAAGGGAAAAATCACAGATAAACACACTTTACTTTAAAAGACACTTTTTTTCCCCATCTAAAATGACACAATGAAAAATAAATAAGCATTTACCTTAAAACAAAAGGAAGGAAAAAAGCAGAGTCATGAAAATTTATAAGTACAATATTTAAATACTGAGGTAAATTATCATTTAGATAAAACTCGAATTAATTGTTAAATTTTACTGGCTTTAAAAATAAGTAACATACGAGAAGAGAATGAATCGTTTTAAAGTACAGTTTTGTGTACAATGAAAATTATTAAAAATGCAAAGCAGAAGAGAATGAACAATTTTAAACTACAGTTTTTGTACAATGAAAATGATTAAAAATGCAAAACAGTTGGCTAGTATTTTTTTAAAAATTAAAATCTAAAACATCTTCTCATATGTATAAAAGTATCTGGAAGTATATGAAAGTAAAAATTTGGTTTCAACAGAATTTTTACAAACTACAATATAAAAATGTACAGTATCACATGCAGCTGAATTCAGCTAGTTTCTTAACATCCTAGTTATCAAAACCCAACAGATTGTCACAACGAATCCAACCATTCTCTAACATGAAATTGACAATCTCCAAACACTGTTCTTTATTAAGACCTTGAGGTTTCAAGTTGAAGGATTCAATACTATTGCCTTTCTGTTTTTCAACATCTGCCTATTAGGAAATAAATGAAAAATTTTTAAACAGCAACATTTACTTTTATGCAGGATAAAATGAGGAATCATCAAAGGAAAATATAATTCATCTTCATATTAACAATAACAAAGTGCAAATTTGAAGAATTATTATAACTATTAATTAAAATATCTCGTCAGTTTTTTTGGCATTAGTTAGTCATTTAAATATACACACTCTTATAGTTATATCTTTAATAAAAATAGAAATAAATTGAGTAAATATAACCATAGTAATAATATAATGAAGCACTTTTACATAATAAGCACCTCTTTAAATATGAAGAAGGACCACCTTTCACCCTTCAAAACTGCCAACACCGAGCAAACCACTGACTGGACAAGGTGCTGACAGGTATCTGGTACCCTGCAGTCACCAACTGGTCCTGCAATTCCTGCATATTTGCGTGGTGGTAGTGTGGCAGCACAAATTTTGTTTCCCAGGTGGAACCAGAAATATTCGATTGGATTCGAGGCAGGTAAATGGGAAGAACAAGACATGACTTCAAATTCAACAGAATGTTTTTCAAACCACTCCCTGACAATTTGGCACTTATGATATGGTGCATTACTTAGTTGGTAAACACCATCACCTGCCAGAAACACTGTTGCCATGAAGGGGGCACATGGTCTGCAATGATGTCACAACAACATTATTCTAAGAGAATGATGGCTACTAATGTGCCTCACGAAAACATTGCCCACATCATAATACTGCCACCACTGTCTTATATCTGGCCAATTGTGCACATGGGTGCCAGGGCTTCTGTTGTAAGTTGACATATTCATGACTAGCACTGAAATCGCACTCATCAATGTGATTGACTGGAAAACATCACCATTTGACTTTCCCCTATTCTTCTATGATCCAATGCCCATGTTCCTTGGCCCATCACATGTGCTGTTGGTGATTACATTATGTCAGCATAGGCCTGTACACAGCATTGTAAGCTGCACCTGAGAAGAAACGCAATGTCTTGGTCACCACTGTGTTAGCTGCTGGTGATTTGTCATTAGTCATGGTAAACAATGTGTAACAGTCTCCCATATCCCCTGGATTCAATGCACTGTTGCCAACAAACTGCTGGCCAGTGACTTATTGTTTTACCATCTATACACTACTTTTGATTAATACTCACAATGGTTGGATATGAGCAGCTAACCAAATGTACTATTTCTGAAATTGATGTTTCCACGCATTCAGCCATAATGATTTGACCTTTACTGAAATCTGATAAACGAACTGCTTTTCCCATTATGTTGCTAAACATAATGGGATTACATATGGAAAACAAAAACAGTGCGTGTATGCTTAATATACAGGGCGGTTATAATTAAAATTACACTTTGAAATGGTCATAAAAGGAAAACTACTGGACCAAATGTTATCAAACTTGGTAATTGTGTAAAGGAGGTCATGGGAATTTATTTTCCTCAAAAAGAAAAAAAAAAGTTCAGAAACTCACCACCAGGGGAGAAATGGCACTGTATGTAATATTGTTAAACAAAATAAGACATCAGTTTAAAATGTGTTTATCGTTTCTGAAACATGTTACAAACCAAGTTCAATGTGGCGCCCAAAACTTTCTGAAAGCAAGTTAAATCGTATTACTGCATTTTTAACAGCAGCTCTAAGGATATCAGGAGGAATGTTATATACATGTTGGTGTATTGCAGCTTTCAATTCCGCCAAATTTTTTAGATTATCACCATAAACAGTGCTGGCATAAGCCAATGCGATTTTGATAACCCCATAAACTTCTTCATTTTAGAAATGATTAAAAACATTTTAAACCAATATAAGGCCAAATCATGGCCGCAAATTCAAGGTTCAAAAATCACAAATTAGCGATATGTAAGAAAACGATTTCACTAATTTGTGGTTTTTCACTGATGGATTTCTCCATTACACTCACGGCGCACTCGACTTTTATCGTCTTTAAAGCTTTTAAATGCCAACTTTGTTAAGGTCAACGTTTCTTAAGGGTATGCAACATGTTAAACCCATGTAACAAAAGGTTAAATTAGATTCCAACCCTTATTTTGTTTAACAATATTGCATACAGTGCCACTTCCCCCTGGTGGTGAGTTTTGAATTTTTTTTTTTTGCAGAGAATAAATTCCCATGACCTCCTTTACACTAGTGCCAAGTTTGATAACATTTCATAAAGTAGTTTTCCTGTTATGATCATTTCAAAGTGGAACTTGAATTACAAACACCCTGCAGAACATCATCAGCCATGTGTGCACTGTGGTTTAGTCTCCGGTAAAGCTCACTGTTCTAGGTGAAGGATGGTCATTATGTAATGGCTCTTTGGTGTACATCTGCAATCTAAATGATTTTGTCAAAACGGTTTATTACATTACATCTCACTATTGTCACTTGCATTCAGTTCTTTATACAAACAAAAACAAAAAGATTTGCTTATTTTACATTCCCTAACTAATTTTTAAATTTATTGTGTAGTAAAAAATTGTATTACAAGAGTAGAAAAAAATATTTTAGTCCCTAGTGATGAAGCTCTTGCTATGCTTAACATTTTAACTATATCCAGTTTTTTTTTCTTACAATGCTTATTTTACAAAAGCTACAGATTTCTACTTTACAAGTCTGTCATTGACTTGACTGCCTCATTTTCAAAAAGAAAACTATAAATTTCATTATAATGCTAAACACAACAATGTCTGCATATTTTTTTTTTTACTAATCCTAAAAACTCTTCCTTTGCACTTGCTAATAAAGCTTCAGCTTTAATTTTGGTGACAAAATATATGCTCAAATTGTACTGATAATGTGGTAAAGGCAATAAGGAGCGCGCCTTGCGCCCTCCAATAAATGTGGCAACCCTAGAGAAGTTTCTTACGAGTAGACAGCAGAACGAGACGAGCCGGCTGTCGGGAAATGTGAGCGAAATTCCAAAATGAAGCTTAATTTTTATTGTGCACTATGCCTAGTTAATGTTTATATTAATGCAGTAAGAACATAACCTGTGATATGGAATGCGAGGATTGGTGGTAAAACATATAGGTAACAACATGATAGAAATCACCATAATGGTGACCCACACTGTGTTAAATCAGGCCGTATGAACAGTTCTCAAGCACTTTCGGTTTTGACTACAAGCCCTCACTCAAGATCTCAAAACCAGAAGTAATTGATTTGCCGGTTTTCATCCTCCGAATCACAGATGAGTAGTAGTGGTGTAGTGGTGTATTTAATTATGGCAAAGCACACTAGGGCTATCTGCCTAAGGGGAGGGATGCCTTTGTGGAGGACTTTCTTAGGGAAACTGGCTCGTATACACATTACACATGGGGAAAACCATGAAAACACCCATGCAGCCAGCCCGTTCGATTCGAACCTCGGACCAAACTACCAGTGTTCAGCGACTTTACCGCTCGGCCGCTGGTGAGCTGACAGATGAGTAGCAATTATAGATTATTTTATAATTCTGATTTCTACTTATCATTTAATTTCATTTTCTTTAAATTTTTGCTTTTATTTTTGGCTTAAAAACCTTGCACAATGTCTGATGTTCATGCCGTCCAAATTGCGGTTTATAACCAATCAGACCCATCTTTATGGTTTATTATGTGTCAAAGTACCTTTGCTCTTGATTGTTCACTCTATTTTGGCAGCAGTTTCCAATTTAACTGTAGATAAAGCTTCAGAAATTGCCGAGAGAATTTTAGAAGTAAATCCAACCCCAAGGACTTGTGCCATTTCTTGCACAGTCGATCAGTCTCTTGAGGATAAATTATTTAAAGAAATAGAAAAATTCTGTTTGCTGGTATCATAGACGTTTTGGGAAAAAGTGTAGAGAAGACAAATGTACAAAACCTTGTTCATGGCAGGGAAACGAAACCAGCAAAGAATAGAGGCAACTGATTCTTTGTCTCAAGTTTCACGTCACCTGTTCGTTCGTGACCGTAGAACAAACCTTTCATTCTTGGTCGATACCGGCTTTGACGAGTCCTTACTTCCAGCAAATAATTCTCAAAAATGGAATTCTCCCAACAAACATTTTTCGCTGCTAATTCTTCAACTTTTCATGTTTATGGTCAAAAAACACTTTCTTTGGCTTTCAAATTAAGAAAACAGCTTACATGGACTTTTCTTCTAGCAAATGCTAGTACACCCATTCTTGGAGCAGACTTTCTCCATTTTTTTGAATTGGTGCCCGATTTCAGAAACAAATGTCTCAAAGATTTAAAAACGCAGTTTAAAACCGTCAGCTGCGTGAAAAATGCAGGCATTTATTCAGTAAAAACTGTGTTTGGTGATATACCATATCACAAAATTTTAAAAGAATTTTCTTCAATTACTAAATTACGAGATCCTAACCAACCTGTTAAACACAACACCGTTCATTATATCATAACTAAAGGTCCACCTGTGGCTGCAAAACCTCGTCGGTTAGCTCCAGATCGCTTAAAAATAGCAAAACAAGAATTTCAAATTATGATGCAATTGGGGCATTTGAGACCTTCGATCAGCAATTATGCATCCCCACTTCACATGGTTCCAAAAAAGGGAAAGTCTGGAATGGAGACCTGTAGGAGATTATCGAGCATTGAATGCTCAAACAATAAAAGACAAATACCCTATTCCATGCTTAGCTGATTTTACTGCTGCATTGCAAGGTACTAAAATTTTTAGTCATGTTCGACCTGATTAAGGTACACCATCAAATACCAATTAACCCAGCCGGACATCCACAAAACCGCCATGTATATGCACACCATTCGGTTTATTTGAAAGTACCCGTATGCAATTCGGCTTATGCAATGCATCCGCGACTTTTCAGCGTTTTCTAGATGAAGTCACGCAGGATTTAGAAGGTTTTGTTTATGCTTTCATTGATGACTTGCTCATAGACTCTAAAGATTCTGAGGAACATTGCAGGCATTTGAAAGCTTTATTTTCCAAACTTCAGGAATATGGACTTTGCATAAATGTTTCAAAATGCACCTATGGTCAAACGTCTATTGATTTCTTAGGTTTTCACCTTAGTCAAAACGGAATTGAACCTCTTCCTGACAAAGTCAAATGTATTTTAGATTTTCCTTAACATACCACTCTCACTCAGCTTTGCCAATTTTTAGGCATGTTTTAACTTTTACAGATGTTTCATACCTAAAGCAGCAAACATATTCTTTCTTCTTTATAAAATTGTTAGAAAGCTATATTAATAAAAAGAAATCTCGTTCTCATGTTCAGGATTCATCCCCACAATTAAATTGGAACGAGAATGCTGAACAAGCCTTTATTGCTGCCAAAAATGCCATTGCTCAGGCTACCCTTTTGAGACACCCTATTCCCGGAGCCCAGTTAAGCATCTGGGTAGATGCCTCAGACGTCACAATAGGCGGCACACTTATGCAGTTGTCTCAACAAACATGGGAACCTATAGTATTATTCTCTATGAAAGTCAACAGAAATGGCCCACGTACGACACGGAATTATTTTCAATTTATTTTGCAATTAAGAAATTCCGACACATGTTAGAAGGCAGAAATTTTATCATTTATACAGATCAAAAACTGTTAATATACGCTTTTAAACAGAACCCTCATAAATGTTCACCTTGACAATTGCACCATTTAGATTTTATTTCTCAGTACTCTACTGATATTAGGCATGTGCAAGGTTCAAAAAACGTCGTTGCTGACGCTCTTTCAAGAATCGAAATTGATTCCATAACAAAATCTCCATTTTTGGATTTAAAAAAATTTTCGGAAGCTCAACGGCATGATACGGAGGCACAAGACCTTTTCAAAAACAATACATCATCTTTGAAAATGGAATTTAAACCGTGCCAATATTCTTTGTTTCACATCAACGGACATTCCTCGTCCATTTGTTCCGAATTCCTTTCGCAGACTCATCTTTAATTATGTGTATAATCTGTCACATCCACGAATACCTACTACAAAGCTTATTTGTTCTCGTTATGTATGGTCCGATATGAAACGTCATATCAAAAATTGGGTGAAAACTTGTGAATCTTGCAAAAAATCGAAAATTACTAGGCATACCAAAGCACCACTGAACACATTCTCTCTTCCTGATGCACGTTTCTCAGAAATCCATATGGATATCGTTGGACCGTTACCTCCATCAGAAGGCAACGTGTACCTTTTCACTAATATATAGATTCTCCAGGTGGCCTGAAGCCAATTCTAGAGCCATACTCAACTGTTGGATATCTCAGTTTGGCTGTTCATCGATCATAACAACAGACCAAGGTTCTCAAATGAAATCCGCAATTTTTGCAGAATTTAAGTGCATTTTGGGTAGGAACAGAATCACAACAACAGCCTATCATCCAATGTCCAACAGCATTGTTGAACGATTTCATCAACATTTAAAATCTTCTCTCTAAGCTCACGAGACCAATAACTGGATTGAAACACTACCAGTTGTTATGCTTGGTATTTGAACAGCCGTAAAGGAGGACCTATAGTCATCTTGTGCTGAACTGGTGTACGGCACAACTCTCAAGCTGCCTAGTTATATGATAACATCATCTAAGAATTGCAGCTACTACGAAGCTTATTTGTTCTTGTTATGTATGGTCCGATATGAATGTTCGTTATGTATGGTCTGATATAATCGTTATGTTTGGTCCGATCTAAGATATCTCCGTATGACACTCAATTTATCATGAATCTTCGGCATAAAATGCAACAATCAAATCCAATAGCAACATTTGCACATTGCCAAGAAAAATGTTACGTAAGTGCTACCTTAAAGTCGTGTACGCATGTATACTTACGTGTCGATCGAGTAAAGCCACCTCTGTGCCAACCATATACAGGTCCGCATAAAGTTCTTTCTAGAACGAACAAAACTTTCACAATTGATGTTAACGGTCTGAAATCTACTGTGTCTATAGACCGTGTGAAACCAGCCTATTTGCTTTCGGAATCTCTTGTTGATGAACTGAAAACAAATAAAAGACTTAAAGACAGTTCAGCAGAATAAATCTGCAAACGAACTCTCTAAGACACAAACTGTCACCAGATCGGGAAGACATGTTCACTTCCCTAAGAAACTTGCTTCTTTCATAACAATTTAAAACGTTTTTTTTTAAATTCATATCATAACATATTTTTTGCTTTTTCATGTTTATTATATGTGTCATTACCTTGTTATATATTGAATTGCATTTTGATCTTTTCTTATTTTATATTCTAATTTTGTAAATATGAAAAAATACCCGACAATATGGATCCTCTGAGATATTTTCATAACCTGATGTCGTTCCTTTGAATGGCCATCAAAGGAACTGGGGAGGGGAACACTGTGGTGATGGTGATAAGGAGCGCGCCTTGCACTCTCCGATAAATGTGGCAACCCTAGAGGAGAAGTTTCTTACGAGTAGAGAGCAGAGCAAGACGGGCCGGCTGTCGAGGAGTGTGCACGAAGTTCCAAAATAAAGCTTAATTTTTATTGTGCACTATGTCTAGTTAATATTTATATTAATGCAGTAAGAACACAATCTGTGACATGGAATGTGAGGATTGGTGGTAAAACATATAGGTAACAACAGGATAGGAATCACCATAATAACAATACTTGTTCTTATCGTGTTATAAATACGTTTATACATGCTTTACCAAGATTTTTTAAGGTGTTTTCAAAATTTCTTCAAATTTTAACATTATTCTTCTAGATCAATAGTTCTCAATCTTTTCTGTCCCACATACCCTCTTCAACATTGCTAGAAGATCATTCCCCTCCCTCATTTCCAAAACTTGAAAAATACAGATTTAGATAACTTTGTAATCTGTTTCATAAATTACACAACACAGTATTGAAAAGGTTGGTAAATACCAAAACTTGGATAAAAGTAGCTTTTTTATATTCATTAATTAAAATTAAATACTTACAGCTAAATAAAATGCTGACCCCCTTTCCCCCTGACACTATGAAGGGAGAGGAACTTTAGACATAAGATCTGGTTTCCATATTTTAAAATATAATTCACTTAACAGCATTTTAGAAAATTTGGTACTTTTCCGTTTTGCCGGCGCAAGCGATAAAGTCGCCAATAATGGTACAACCGATGCCAAACGGAATATTCTCGCTGGTAACCTTTACGCCTCATTCAAATAGTTCAGTTTTATGTCTAAGGCCATTTTCGGCAATTAAATGAATTAGGATGCAATCACAGCGCTTACCCGAAGCCGAAAATATAGAAAAGGTAAAGTCAAGGGTTAAATTCATCAATTCTAATGAGAATGCACTAGTGAAGTAAAGCACTGCAGTTTTACATAATTTCTGAGTAAGCTATTCGTACGAATTGAAGTATTTCTTGCATTTAAACTTGTGTTCCAAATTAAGATTTAACTTGAAATTCATGTAGATAATTACTGAGAGCATTATATTTTGTAGAGTAGTATACGTGAGATGAGATCGGTTGGGGTCCCGTGATATGAACAGGCGGAACAGGATGTTGAACCATGAAAGCATAGTAAATTCTTAAATTAATGTCTTTTTATAAATTTATTGTCTTTATTTATTGGCTTTTTATAAAATTTTAAGCGATATTAAAATGTTTATGCCTTCAAAAAAAGAATTCTTAGGACTAACCTTTTTTTCAATATTTTTTGTGTATAATGTATGTTGTCGCCAATAAAGTCTGCTTGGCGAGATTTGCGCCGGCGAAACGGAAAAGTACCGAAAATTTTTATGATGAAGCATTTTTTAGATATTATTCACTATTTAGCTTTTATTATCAATTTAGAATTCTATTATCGCTATAGTATTAATAAACCATATGTCCCACTTCTAATTCAGTGTTCTTCTTCAGATTTCAAAAACCTTGAATATGTTAAATCTATTATGCAAATGGATAAATGCCATCATTAATATTAATTTTTTCTATGGTGGTCCCTTCTGCAACAGACCAAAATCATCTCGTACGGTAAGTGTGTGGTTATGTTAGAGACATTTCATTGTATAAGAATATCCTGATTGCCAGGTAATAAATAAATAAATGAAAAAAAATTAAACATACCTTAAAATTCAGTTTGGTACATATGCACGCACGCACGCATGCACACACACACACACACACACCAAAAAAAAAGTAAACTTACAAATATTAAAACTGCTTTATAGGCAATATAATAAGCTGGTCTTAGGTTCATTGCTGCACACAGCTGAAAGGAAAATTTCTTATTTAGTAATTAATCACAATTATATAAAACAAACATATGGTTATACTTTAAATTTACTGTCCACATAGTTTAAAGTAATACATTACTTATGACACTCAGCCAACTAATTAAACAATTTAAATCATGATTTCTCAAATTCACAATTTTCTCCTTCTAGAAAATAATTATTAAATTTAATAACAACAATTACATTAAGTTACATAATAATTACTAAGTAATACTGTTAAGTTAAAATTTTGTTCTGGATTAATGCAGAATAAAATTTTATCAAAATTTCCTTTTGAACTTACAGTTTGATTATGCTACATTGTTTATACTGTATAACAGGAATGGGAAACAAGTTGATTGTGCAGCAATATTAGGGCAATCACAGACAAACCTTTAGCCTAACAGTGATAACATAGTATCATTGCTTCTAAGAGAAGTGTCAGTTTTTTTTAACATATCTGCTGCAGAAAAATGCAAGTACTTTCTATTTATGTTTTAAATTAAAACTGTGTGCTTGTACACTTTTTTTTTTTTTTTTTAAATTTTAGTACAGTCAAAAGTCATTAATCTGGACACCCATAATCTGGAATGATCTATAATCCGGACTTCAAAGCTACAAACTTTTTGCGCATGCGCGTAATACCTTTACGCATGCGCATAATACATTTACGCATGCATGCTTAATGTACAACGGATGGTATAAGCTAAGCTAAAATTATCTAATTATCTATTTCAGTTAATGTTGCAGATTGCGTTATTCCTTAATCTTCGAATTGGATTCGGCTTATTATTTTTTAAAGACTGTTAGGGCAATTTTATAAAAGTAAGTTGGAACTTTCAATTATGTCAAACAGAATTTCCGATGCTGGATCTACAAAGAGAAAGCATGTTTCGATGTCCATCAAACAAAAAGTTGGAATTGCTGCAAAAAATGGATCGCGCAATGAATTGGAAGCTGATCTGTCAGCACTATCCTTATCTTCAGGGCAGATGTTTTTATTTTATTCGGCTTATAATTCCTTACTAAACGTAGTATTTCATCTTGATGTACTTCGTCTTTGATATGATTTAAATCAAATTCCTCGTCATTATAAATATCATGAATACAAATCAAATAGTTTTCTGGTTGCAATTTTCTAATTTCAACTATGCGTAATGTACGCTTTACACATGCGTGCATTGAAAGAAATGTTTAATAAAGTAAACAAATAAATATTAATTTTTTTTTTTTTTTTGTAAATTTTGATACCCTTTAGATCATAATTGCTCTTTATTTCATAAATTACGGTTTCATATTTTTAATTTTATAATTTCTGCATGCCATCTTACCAGATTTAAACTAATGATCTATAATCCAGAAAAATCGATAATCTGGAATTGCCGAAGTCCCGACGAGTCCGGATTAAAGACTTTTGACTGTACCTATTATGCCAAAAATATCAATGATTTAGAAATTTCATGAAGAATAGGAATTTTTTACAATGGGGAAAACGAGTATGGACCAGCTGCTAAAAATACCGAGGTGACTGTATGCATGCTGCGAATGAACGACAGAGTGGTGAACAAACTGTTTCACATCTTCCTGTGGATGACAAGTCTGAAAGGACTATATCTTCAGATTGTGATATACAAAAAAGGAATACACCTCAGAATTTCAGTGGAAAAGTGTTTGACCCGGGTATCACTTAATGAAAAGACTGAGATTGAAATTCATTATGAACATTAATTTGTATAATTTAAAATTGTTATGTGTTTAATTTGTGTATATAACTTGTACATAGTGTAAATGTTTGTTTCTTTAGCTATGTTATCTGTATGTTTTATTACTTTTGTTTGTATCGAATTTGGCTTCTGACCAAGGGTTGTACTGCCCGGGACGTGCAGTCCTTGGGAGGGGATGGTGTTACGAAATGTACAGGCGTAGTAAGATGGCTTCCCCGCAAAGCAGTTTTAGGGTTGCCATAAAATGGAAAGGGAAGGCAGGGTTGCCACATCTAGCAAGAAATCGGCAATTTGGCAACAAAATTGGCGATATGCCATGGATGGATGGAGAACCTTCTGGAATTAATTCTTACCGGTTTAGGCCAAAATGTTCTCAAACACAAGCCGAAAGCTATATAAACCTTGCTTGTCCACAGTCAGTTAGAGTGTGCCTTGTCTAGCGAACTGATAGTCATTGAGCGAGTGTCTCGAAGTCTAGCGCCGAGTTGGTCGTCGAGTGCATCGAAGTCTCTTAGTGTATTGTGGTTAGTGTATTGTCGAGAGAATGTGTTAAGCTCCGGGAATGACTGAACCGAGCTGTTCTCTGTGTGTCGTCAAGTGCATCGCGAGTTGTGGCGTGGAGAGCCTTGAGAGTACATAGAGTTCCGAGAACGACCGAGCAGAGTCGGGAGCTGTACTCTGGTGCTCTGCAGTGAAGCTGTCTCCACCGTTATAGCCTGATAACCTGAAGGCTGTGTTACTGATTATTCCAGCAAGTGTATAGTAGATCTTCGACGACTGTAAAACGCGACTTTGGAGCTGTCTTGATTAATATTGGCTAAATAAAGTGTGTTTCGATATTCCATCAAGAGCTGTCATCGTTATTCACTCCAAATCTATAAACCCCATACGAACATGAAGAAAGAAAATAACTTAACAACTGGTGTCAGAAGAAAATAATGCAACAATGTAGTAAAAAATAGCTTCTTTATAAATATAAATTCATTAAATGCATAACATATGTATCTGAGACCAAGACTGAGGATGAGAATGATACTAAAGACAGTAGCCAATTTTCGTTAACTTCTGTGTGAGAAGTAAGATTTAAATATTTTTACTTCAGATCTAATTATTTTACCATTACACTTTTACCTTAAGAAATACATGTTGACTGAATGTGTCTTTCGTATATGTTCAAACACATACGAAGGAAAAACTTTAGGCAACATTAGTATAATATTTTAAAAGATAGCTTTTTCTTAGAAAAATGAGATGAAAAAGAATGTGATCCCCACATAGCTGCCAACCTTGAAACATGGAAATTTGGGAGGTTTTAGTATGAAAACTAGGAATTTGCAAAAGTTTTCATGCTGTGTCATAATGCTATTTCAAAAGAACTGTAAACAGACTTCACAATTCACATTATTAAATTTTCTGTACTTTGTGTTTCTGATATAAAATATATAAATTTTTAATTACACATTCCATATACATTTTGGCTACTTGTAACTTTCTTACATTTTTATGTTGCAAAAATCCCAAGTAGGAGAAAATGCAATTATTTATGAAAATACATTTAAATTACGATGAAAAGTACCACGAGTAATTAATGTGCATACTACTGTGTGGACAAACTTAGTAATGCACTATTTATTGATGAAAAAAAATTAAATACAAATATTAGATTAAACACTAGTTGAATCTTCATAAAAAATTTTAGAAGTGTCTAGGGCCAGATTAAGACAATTCAGATTTTAATAAAAAAAAACTATGCTGAAAATTACCAAGTGTTGGGAAATGGAATTTGCAAAGTAAAAGCTTTATTAATTGAATAAATTTCATTTATAACGTGGAAACATTTCCTATTAGTAAAGGCTAAAAATTAAGAACCCAGAAATCTGGTATCTATTGGGATACCAGAAGATGCGATGAAAATTGAAAGAATTGGCAGCTATGGACACACTAAGAATATTTAAGATTTCAGAAACTGACAATTCATACAGGAACTGAAATGACAGCAACAAAACACAAATGGTAAATTTTTCAGCAAACATTATTAATTGAACGAAAACCGAGTGGTTACTTTTTTTCTAAATCTACCCACATGCACTAACCAGTTAGAAATATACAGTAGCATTTCCTCTTATTACAAAGTACATTTCAATACTCTATTTTTTACAATTTTTTTTTTTTTACATACAAAGATCTCTCTCACATGCAAATGTATTTTTTAGAGGCAAATTTACAGCCAATAATCTATAATGTAATATGGAAACAAAAATATATAGTTATCATTAGTTTCCAAACTCTATGAAATGAGTACATTCAGCAAAAATATACCGTTTTTTCCTTTCGAGATAGCAAATTGTAGCCTTGTAAAACTGGAATAAAAAATCCAGTTTCGTACGGATAGTCATCTTCCCCTAAAGGTTAAAAAAAATAATAATGATACTATAATGTTTTTAGTTTATATCAAAACACTGAATGTAGTAAAAAATCTATTAAGGACTGCAAAAGAAATAATACACACTAGCTAATTAAAGACCAGTTTACTTACACATTTAAAAATAACTTTTCTAATATCAGCGATATGCACAACAATGAAAGTATACATAAAAGTAATATAACAAAATATACATGAAAGTAATACAGTGAGAAACTATTACTCAAGTTACACATATTATTTTCATTACCAAATAATAAGTACAGAAATAAGTGTTCACGAAGTATATAACTGTGAAATAAAAACTCCAGCTTTGACTGAGATTAAATTTACACAAAAGATCTTATGCATTTTTACAGTCATGGGTTTCTCTTAATCGAAGAGTTAGCTGATATGGATCTCTATTAGTCAAACAGCAGAATATTTAATGTAGATTATTAAGATGCAAAGAGACAAAAGAGGTCAAATAATTAATTTCATCTCAAATTCCCAACAGTACAGAGCACCTACCTTTTGATTAAAAACAGCAAGAATATGTGTGTGTCAGATTTATGCCAAACAAATGAGAATTTTCAAAAAGAATTAATATCCCCCATCCCATACTAGGGATAAAAGTTAGCAAAGCTGCTCTTATCTTGATTAGCAGTTCCCAACCTTTTCTCTCTCTGTACCCTTTAAAAAGACTTAGTAATATAGAGTATCCCTAACTTCCTCTTTCAGAACTATGATTCCTCCTTCATCCCCTTATAATATTCCTGCCTATATCTTATTACTGAATACTATAAAACTAATAAATTGCAATGAATAAGGTCAGAAAAATATAATGAAACATAAACTGATTATTATATTACTCATTTCGAATAAGTACAGTACCAACCCATACACAGTAGAGTCCTGTAAATTGGGCATAACGTGGACTGAGAGATCCTTGAGTTTCCAAAAAAATCAAGTTTTATGGAATAAGGGGTGGATTTCTCGGAATTTTTAATATTTAACCCTTTAATGCATGTGATATTATTTTTATAACGTTTCAACTAAAAAACTCTAGACACTGAATATTATGATCCTAGAGACAAAATAATATATGAATTTTAAAAAAATCTGCTCTTGCCCAGTGATCTGTGGGTGGTGGTTTTTGGTTTTCAACAGATCTTTCCATCTGTCGAGCCTGTCAGCACTAGCAGTAAATCCAGGCTTTCCTTGAAATTCATCATAAAATTTTAGGGCTTTCTCTTGTATTCGTATTCACCCCCTTTTATACATCTTCTTTCCCTTAAACTATCCGTACATGCTCTTTTCAAACAAAAACTCTCGATTCCGAATCTCTTCTTTTTTAATCCTATCAAAATAGTCCGTCCAACACTGAAATTAATGGCAATTTTGTTTACACTTTTCCCTTTGTCCTGTCTATTCTAAAGCATCTAGTTTCATTTCCATTGTCACCTTAGTTTCTGTTCTTTTTGAATGATATTTTCATATGACAGAATACCAAACGTTCCCCAAAACATGTAACACTTATACATCTGGATATGAATTGAGGATGATGCCCGCTATGAACAGGTGTGAGTTTAGTTTGCAATAAGATTCAGTCACAAAACTTCAGATAAGTCTCAACATTTCGCAGCAGTAGAAAGAAATGTGAGCCAGCGGCCAGCTGCTATCTAATTATCTTTGTATCCTCGAAAGAAGCAAACAGCATTGGCAAGTATTACAACATATCTTGAAATTTATTAAGCAGTTCCAAGAATGAATGGCACAATGCGAAAACGGCAAAAATTACTGAAAAAGAACACTTAAATCTACGAGTAGAACAGGAGAGATATATGCATAAATAATAATTATATGAACTGTAAGTAATACTTGCTCTGTTTGGCCTAGAGATATCTTATAAAAGTTTCTAAAGTTGTCAAGTTATATGGAATGACGAGATATCAAGAGTAAAATTTGTGGGACTTTACTGTATTTTAAATTAAAATACAACATTATTAATGTACTGTAATTATTTTGAATATCAGTTTTTCTATAATAGATATGAAATAAATGAGCAAGCTTATGAATTTATTAATTGTTGATGAGATTTAGTCCTATACAAAAATCTTAGTATTCTTGAAATAGTGTTGTATCACAGTAAAATATTAAACTTAAAGTAATAATTAATTATATTAAATAAATAATTATATATTAAAGTGATATTTAATTAATATATTTAAAGTGAATTAATATATAATTTCATACATACTAAATGTATGACCTAAAAGGTTTAATACATTGGTGCTCTCATCGACATGCTAAAAAAGAGGGGGGATATTTTTTATTCTCGATTACTATCAATAAAAGTCATCAGCATGGCCTTGTTTCTCCAAGCAAATGTATGTTTGTGAAGAGAATGCTGTTTGAGCAACATCAAAATTTCAGTAACGGTATGGTTTTCACCACTTTTAGCAATACAATGACTTATTTTTATGCTTCAGTTGCATTTTTATCATCTGTGTTAGCTAATAATAGGTTTTAAGTTAGAATCCTTAGACATTTGTTGAAAAATACATATTAATTTTTGTTTGAAACTGGATTATTTGGTTTTTAAATGATGCAACAATACCAAAGGTTTCATACTTCCATTTGATAAAATCTCCTTGCATATGACACAAAAAGGGGCTGTTCTCGTCTCTTCCAAACGAAATTCCATATTACACACTGAACAGAATATTTTCTCTTTTTCTAAGAAAGACTACTCTTTTTAGAATTTTCTTACTGCTAGTAAGTGTAGCTGTAACTAAGCTAATAGCTTCATCCTGGCCCAGCTGTTTCTTTGGAAATGCTTGACACAAACACCGAATCAAAGCTGTCACCTACAATAGCTTTAGTTCTGTGCAAAAACCTACTTTTTAATGGTTTACAAATTTTTACTTAAACACATCTTACATAACAAATTTTTAAAAAAAGTAAAATAAAAACCACATTCAAACAAACTTCACTTAACATAACTGTAAAGAAAGACAGCTATTTAATTCACTCAATATTAAAAATATTTACTGGCTGACAATAATTTTATATGACTTGTTATGACAAGGAGAGAAAGAGGGTTACTACATATTTCTGACTAAGCAACCAAAAATATGAATGATGTAGTCAGGGTTAGTTACAACTAACTCCATTGCTTTCATAATATGTTTTCGTCAGTAATAGTAATGGTCACACTAGAATTTCTTATGATTACCCTTTTTTTCATTAAAAATGTTAACTTTCTGAACATTTTTCATTAGCATTCATTACAATACTTTGCTCTGTACCACTATTTCACATAATTCCAACTAAGCCATCATATACCCTAGGGCAGTAGTGCCCAATCTTTGGCATATTGCAAGCACATTTCCAAAACATCAGCATTTTTATTAAACATATTTCCAATCTCATGTGATACATCTGAAATATTAATTTCGGCACATGGGTCTGAGATGAATCTGAATTTTATGGAAATCAGAGAAGCGGAGTTCAAAATTATTTTTCAGTGCATTTAGGTTTTCCGAGTATTTCTCTGTTTCAATTGCCTTGTGGTTATTAATACGACTTGATAAATTCTGAAAATGGGTAAAAAATTTTCTTTCATCTGATTTATCCACAAATTTAACTTTATCCAAAAAGCAATTACAGTCCCAGTGAATTGAAAAAGGGTTCCCCCCCCTCTTCTCCCTGGAGATCTTTGTTCAGTTTAGATGTTATATCCATGAGAAACTACTGATTGGATAAATTATTATCATCCAATTCTTTATAACTTTTGTTTCTAGATTCCCAAAACTGCTTTATTGGCTAAATAAGTTCTACAAATCATTGAAGTACTTTTCCCCTGCTGAGCCATCTAATATAGGAATGAAGCAATAAGATTCCATGTTCACTATCAAGTTCATCAGTCAGCAATCAATTATTTTATAATATCTTGCAAGATATCTCTTATGACTATAAATGCTTACCATATTTTAACAATTAAGAAATATAAATGAATGGTTATTTTTAAAATATTTTTCATAGTACCTAATCGCCAGCCGGCGATCATATACAAAACAATCGGTGAGCACACTTGTGCTCATGGGCACAAGGTTGGGCACCGCTGCCCAAGGGATATGTGTAATACAGGTTGGGAACTGCCGATACAGATGACAAGTCTTAATCTACTTACTGGACATGCTCCAGATAACATCCAAGACTCCTCTCCTAATTCCTTATTAATGTAATATATCCATTATTTACTGTGGTTTTTAGCAGATATGGACCATCCTGTTCGTTCAAAATAAACGAAACAGTGCTTAATGAAACAAGTAGTTACTACAGATTCTCTCTAATCATTCAAAGCTGTCTATTTTTAATTCTCTGTAGAGAAAAAGTACACCTTTGTCCATCGATAAGGCAATAAGCTATTATTCTGAAAACATATGTATTTCTGATATACCACTTAATCAACATGCTCAGTAGAGCTCTTGCCACTTGCTGAGAAGGCGCTCAAACCCGGAAAGGCTGCTCTTGCTCTGCAAAGGCGGAGTACATCGAGATGAAATACTACATTTAGTAAGGAGTTATAAGCCGAATAAAATGAAAACATCTGCCCTGAAGATAAGAATAGTGCTGACAGATCAACTTCCAGTTCATTGTGCGCCACGACGTCCCCCCCCGGCACAGCAGTGTGAAATTGATAAACAGATTTCGGAATGGTTAGAGAAACAAAGGATATGCCTTTATCCATTTTTTGCAGCAATTCCACTTTTTGTTTGATGGACATCGAAACGTGCTTTCGCTTTGTAGATCATTTGGCAGCTCCAGAATCGGAAATTCTTTTTGACATAATTAATTGAAAGTTCAAGCTTACTTTTATAAAATTGCTCTAACAGTCTGCAAAAAATAATAAGCCGGACCCAATTAGAAGATTAAGGAACAACGCAATCTGCAACATTAACTGAAATAGATAATTATCTAATTTTAGCTTACCTTATACCGTCCATTGTACATTAAACGGACATGCGTAAACGTATTATGCGCATGCGTAAAGGTATTATGCGTTTACGCACGCGCGGAAAGTTTGTAGCTTTGAGGTCCGGATTATAGATCATTCCAGATTAAAGACTTTTGACTGTATACTAAATGCTGGAATGGCGAGCGCAAGAGGCATATATAACCTGTATTTTTATGGAATAAAGATTGGCAATGAGAAAATTAGTGAACTTAAAAAGTAGTACCTACTTTTTAGAAAATACACTGATTATCCTTTTCTTTTTATTATATGAAAAGTTCTATACAGTCAAAAGTCGTTAATCCGGACTAGTCGGGACTTCGGCGATTCCGGATTATAGATCATCAGTTTAAATCTCGTAAGATGGCATGCAGAAATTCTAAAATTAAAAATATGAAACCGTAATTTATGAAATAAAGAACAATTATGATCTAAAGGGTATCAAAATTTGCAAAAAGAAAAAGCTTAATATTTATTTGTTTATTTTATTAAACATTTCTTTCAATGTAAGTTGTTTAAGTTTTGCTTCTTCGTTTCATGTGATAATACTTTCTCTTTAATTCTATTAAACAGACATAATTTCTTGTTCAGTTACAAAGTTACGCTGTTCAAGTCCTATAATTGCTGTGTCGAGAACACCGACTAATTTGTCAATCGAAATTTTTTCGTTTTCAATAACCTCTGTTACTTCCTTCGCTATCGAAAGCGAATTATAATGACGAGGAACTTGTTTTAAATCATATCAAAGACGGAGCATATCGAGATGAAATACTACATTTGGTAAGGAATTATAAGCCAAATAAAATAAAAACATCTGCGCTGAAGATAAAGATAGTGCTGACAGATCAACTTCCAATTCATTACATTACGCGCCCGCTGCGCGGCGATCCCCCCGCCGAGCAGCGTGAAATTGATAAACAGATTTCGGATTTCAAAACATACTTTTGCTTTAGATCCTTTACATATTAACAAATATATATCGAAAATTCTATTTGATATAATCGAAAGTTTAAGCTTACTTTTATAAAATTGCTCTTACAGTCTGCAAAAATAATAAGCCGGATCCAATTCGAAAATTAAGGAACAACGCAATCATCAACATTAACTGAAATAGATAATTAGATAATTTTAGCTTATACGTCCATTATAATAAAACGCGCACGCGAAAACGTATTCTGCACTTGCGCAAACTCATATGCGCAGTCATAAAGGGTCTTACACGCACGCGTAAACGCCTATGCGCATGTGTCAATGCGGCGCATGCGCAGAAAGTTTTTAGTTTTGAGGTCCGGATTATAGATCATTCCGAATTATGGGTGTCCGAATTAACGACTTTTGACTGTATTCTAAAATCTTAAATAAATTTAAAATTTTATGATTGACATGATATAATATATATATGCCACTTCATATTCATTGTGTCATAGGATGTTTAAGTTAATTAGTTAAACATGAGGGCTTACTACCTAAGAGACAGAATGTTTTTCTGAATAATATGAAAATCCATTGTAACCATTTTGATAATTTGAGATAAATTTCAGCCTCTTGGCCATTGGTGACTGACTTACTACAGAATAATTATAATCTGAAATATGGCACCTAAAATATGGCTGTATACATGATATTAAACTGTTATAGCATTGGATGAAGATGCTTATATAGTATGTAAAACAATATTTAACAACGATCAAAGTTTTTAATGTCCAATATTTTAACAACGATATACCGTATATACCCACGTATAAGTCAAGATATTTTGGACAAAAAAAAAAAAAAAAAAAAAAAAAAAAAAAAAAAAAAGGACTTCAAAGTGTGTGGTGTGTGGGGGGGGGTCGACTTATATGCGGGGCCATAAAAAATTAAAAGAATTGGAAGTTCAAAAATTTCGTTATATAATGCAGTTGTTTCCTTCCCGCACTCAAATTGGATGACTTATCAAATAAGTCACTTACTTGAAGTAATTTCATGACTTAAATTATGTGACAAACTAATCACAGAGTTTCATACTTTAACTAGAGTAAGTTTCGATTAAACCAAAGAATTTTCGGCCCCTGAACAACCGATCAATATCAAGCAATAAAAAAGTTTCGCCAACATGCCAAGAAAAGAGAAATGCAGATAGTTTTTCACATACATATAAGTACACTTTTCTGAAGAAGTGACAAAACACCTAAAAACGACTGTGGCCTTAATTCCGGGAGGATTGACATCCGTCATTCAACCCCTAGATGTCTGCCTCAATAAGCCCTTCAAAGTAAATGTTAGAAAATATTGGGCAGAGTGGATTAGTTCCGGTCGAACAGCATCTACAAAGGGAGGCAACATTAAAAAGCCCGATATTAGATTAATTGCTCAGTGGGTTAAAAATGCTTGGAACGAAATACCCTCTGAAATGATTATAAAATCATTTAAAAAATGTTGTATTAGCAACGAACTAGATGGCATGGAAGATGATGCTGTTTTTGAAAGTGAAAATGACGACGAAGGCTCTAGTAGTGATTGTAACAATACAGAGTTCGAGACTGAAAATATGTATGATGACGAGCCAATGACGACAGAAGAGTTCTATGAAATGTTTGGCGAATGTGACCATGAATCAGACGTTGAAGGATTTTGATTTTGTTTATTTACCAAGGTATTTTTATATATTTTTTCTCGTATATTTACTTTTTTTCTCAGATGATTTTGAATAAATGTAGTACTTAAAAAAAAAAAGTTTTCGAAGTTTCTCGATCGATTTCGGAAGTGGGGGGTCGACTTATACGCGAGTTTCTTATTTTCTACGAATTTTTTATGTCAAAGAGGGGGGGGGGTCAACTTATACGCGGGTATATATGGTAACTTTTTAAGTTTTATTTTAAACATACACAAGCAATATTTCCTTAATTAAATGAAGTACCTAAGTTTTTCAGCAGGAGACATCATCTTTCTTGTAATTTTCCTTTGGCTATATTTCTGCACTTAGGCTTACTGATTTCATTGCACCAGACAATTATTTTAAAGATTTATTACAGATATGGGTGATTTCATGTTATGAAGTTAAATTTTTAATGTAGTATTATGGTCAGATTATGCTTTCAAATTCATGTTGCTAAAATTAATATATATTTAATAAGGTATTCCACTTGTTTTACTTAGCATAACTCACTGATGCTTCAAAATCTTGCATCGACATTCAGCGCTATAAATTCTTTCAGCTTGCCATTTTACTGAAATATTTCTTGTTCACTTTGATGCTCATATAACTTAAGAGATAGCCCTCTAAGAATTTTTCATTTATAATTTCTGATACTCTGATTATTTAAAATAGACTCTAACAATTATCGAGAAAAGTTAACAAGCTCTTGCATAACAATATGCAACAGCTACTAACTTCAAGGAGGTTATGAATATTCTTATATTACTGATATCATGCATTTGTATGTCTCATGCTTTTTTCCAGTGACATACCACAGTTATTTTATTTATATAAGACAATCTTATTGCTATAATGTCTTATTGTCTTACATCTTATTGCTATAACACCATCCCCAGGGGAAAAAACTAAAATTTAAAATTTTTTATGTCATTTGCTTTGAAATCGCTGAGTTTTTTAATAAAAAATTCATTGAAGTTTTACAAAATATGAAAGAGATAATAAAATTAATTTGAAATTCAAAATTCGGGCTTCCAGGTGCCCATATTCAGGTGGAGGACTTCATTATTCGAAATTTGATGGCTCTTGGTACCCATGTTTTCTCATGCATGAAACATACAAACATTCATGTAAGATTAATTATTGAATTTCTTTTACTATCATACAGGGTAACAGTATTTGGTAGCAACAATGTGAAAAAAGATTCAGCACTTCTAGTGATTCCACGCAAAATCCCATTTCCAGACTAAAAGCCCTTCTGGGTTAGAGCCCCTTAAAAAAAAAAAAAAAAAAAAAAAAAAAAAAAAAGAAAGAAGGCTAAAAGGAATTTATTAAATATCAACTTACCGTTTTCTTCTGGTGAATCTAAGTCTTCGCTTTCGTCGCTTCTAGAGAAAAAAGGAAATCAGTCATTTAATTTTATAAATTATGATTCTAAATTTAATAAAGATAAGTTTTAAAATGTAAATTTTATACAGCAGATAGATAAATATGTTTTTATGAAAAAAAAAATCAGCACAGAAGCTTTGATCCATGTAATTAATCAGGATATAATTTTCCTAAATGGAGAACAAACCAGCACTGATCCAATGGATAAGAAAGACTGGGCTGGTTAATTTCCTATGATAATCCATAAAAATGTTACTGGTTTTAAAGTGATAACCTTAAAGTGGTAGCTGGAAGAAGATGGTACAACATCTCTCCAAGTTCCACTGATGAATTAATTATAAAATCAAACAGTGATAAAATGGCTTATGTTGTTTGACTAAGAATGGGCTCAAAAAAAAAAAAAAAAAAAAAAAAAAAAAAAAAAAAACATGAAGTTACTTATTAGTAAATGAATGATCTAAAATTTAGTTTCTCAGTTAAAAAATTATACAGTTTGGTACAGAATTGCACATCATTCAGCCCATGTGATATTTCTATAACAAAGATATGATGTTAAAATTTTCAAATACAGCAACATATATATTTTCCTAAAAAATGAAGATTCAGATTATGCCCAAGAAAATAATGCCAGCAGAGGTTTATAGGTCACAGTCCATCTCTAATCACAATGTCACTGAAGATTTAAAATTCACAACTTAAATTCACCAATGGGTTAAAGACACTGAGTGCATTAATACTATTAGAAGTACTTTGGCTTTAATGAAGAAAAAAGAAAAGTATTCAGCTTGCTTAAACAAGGCATGATTACTGAAGTTTACAAATTCAGCAAAGCAGTCTGAAAGCGCATCTGAAATGAACCAGTACTATACAATAGAACTCACTGTCAAAACAAATCACTGACTTTTTGATAAATATTTATTGCACTATGCATATCTTTCTGACAAATAAAGATTGGAAGCCAGAGAAGTCTGAAACTGTTTCTCAAATGAAACTGTAAAAGAATCTTAACAGTTATTGCAAATGATCTCCATCTCAGTTTAGAAATGCAAATCAGTGACAGGACTATCTAGTGGGGATTATGATTATAATGCTAAAAAATATTCATCACATCCATCAATGTTACTGGTTTAAAAGTTCCAGCTGTCTAAAAAGTATCATTCCAGCATACTTACTTACTATGGAGGACAATCATACACAGCAAGGATAATCAACTGAGGTGGAATTTGTTTGATCTCAAGACTGGTAGACTAAAAACTGTAACAAAGAGTTCACAACAGTGCCCTTTCTAAATACATACTATATAGTGCAAAGCATCTGACTCTGCATTGGATGGCAAGTCGTCTTTGTTAGGTAAAGTTAAAATTAAGCAGATCTGCAATTTTGTAATTCAGTAGCTAGATGAGAGAGCTAGCCTTCACAGAAAAAAGAAACAGAACATAAACATGAAAGAAGTGCAATCTGAATTGTCTGATCTCATGACTAAATGGGGACCTTCAGGAAGCAACTTCAGTGTTAGCCAGTGCCACTAGGCCTCAGTGTTAGCCAGTGCCACTAGGCCTACCATCATAGAAGTAGATTGGCATGTTGGACTTAGTTTAGAATATTCCAATTTCATGTAATAGTAAATACACAATGTCTCCCCAGTGTTAACTTGCATTTTTAAAGTATACACATAATACATGTGTTTTTCACTGGTACAATACTGTATTCTATGAACCCTCGATTAAAAAGTTAAATAAAAATTTATAGGTGTTCAAGTTTCCATTATTCAAGTACATTACTCTCATAAAGATTACATAAGAAACATCAGCTTAGAGACAGAAAAGTGCAATGGTGTAAACATGAACTATTTACCTACAAGAACTCTGTGAAGTTTCATTTTTAATGCTTCATTGTTGTAAATCATGCATTAAAAATTGTTTTATGTTCATTGTGTTAGTTTGACATAAGGGAAATATGAAATGCATGAAATATTTCAATACATTATATTAAGTATATTCATGCTTTTAAATTACCTAGTTATAAATACAGCTTTTTTCTGATGCCAAATATATTTCTTTTTTTAATTTTGAAAAATAATAAAAAAGGTGGAAAATTGAATGTTGACTATCAGATCAGGGGTTCTCAAACAGGGGGGGGGGAATAAAGGTAGCCTTTTTTTTATCTGCTTAGTTCATGAATATAAAAAATTACCTTTGTTCAAGTTTTGGAATTTATATACATTTTCTATACTTTTCCTTGTTTAATTTATAAAACACACTGAAAAATATTTAAATTAAAATAAATACATTTTTCAAGTTTTTGGAAAGCAAGGGGGTAAATGAGGCAAAAAAGGCTAAGAGCCACTGGTATAGATAAAATCACTAGCATCATGTTCTGTGCATTCATATGCACATTTTGAAAAATCTTTCTCAGAATCATTAAAGAAAATATGCCAACAATTCTTACTGTAGAAGTTAATTCCTCCAGTTTAAGGATGATATTTAATAATATGCTGTTGCAGATTTCATCAGAATGAAGAGAGCTTTAAACATTAAAAATGCAAAAAAATTGCCATCCATAACGATCACACTAATGGGGTTATCACATCTAGCAATGTGCAAAGCTAGAAGAAACTTTTCCAAGAAAATCATTTTTCACAGCATTGGTTTAAATGGGAGGGTTCTTAGCTGAAACAGCCTAGCTGGAACCAATGTCCTGGCTACATATGTGAGATAGTTTAGCTAGTTGGTGAAAACATTTTATAAGCAACTCTGTCTCACATAGGATTTGGGCAAAGAACATATTTTCACACAAGTCAACCAATCAGACTTTCATCATACATGTAGCATTTGAAAGCCATTTATGGTTTTCAATTAAATTGTAAGTTCTTTTTATGGAAGTATTGAAAACACACAGTGGTAACTTACTCTTCGTCCAGTAAATCTACCAGAATATCTCGAACCGTTAGAGATAGCTCCTGTAAAGAAAAAAAACTACTACTTTCAGTTTTTCAAATAACACACAAAAAGAATAAGAAAACAATAACTCAGTACTAACTTCTAAATACATAAGGGAGAAATAATATAAAAATCAATTTTATCTTGATCATCACACAAGATAAAATAAAATTTTAACTTTGAAATAACAGAACTGTTTTATAATACATAATCATATTTTTAAAGAAAATACAAAAAATTCTACAAATGCATTAAACTGTGTCCTTTTACACTTTTAAGGGAACATGCGTTAAATTTAGACATCTTTAATACTGGTCAAGCAAAGTAATCACTGTTTTTAATTTTATTAATTTTTAGGAGCAATTCATTAAGTCCATACATTAATTAACCAGTTATATGATTTTGATCTTTTCTTCATCTTCCTTCTATATTCCTCACCAGCATGTAAAATAGATTTAAGTATATTTAACAGGGTTGCCACTCAAACAGGAGAATGAAATTCCCTGACTTTTCCAGGTTTTCCAGGTGTGTTTCAAGAAAATTCCAGTCTATCCGCGTAATGTACGTTGGTTGTGCTAAAAGGTAAATTAATTATGGTATTACTTGTATTGTGTAGCAAATTCACTTAATTATTCAATAAATCCCAGAGGACATTTATTCTTAATTATTCTTGGTATACTTTGTTTGATAATTTTGTTTAGTTTTCCACTTAAGAAACTTAATAAAATGATATATATATTGGATAACAAATGTATGTTTTATTTAATTATTACTCATGATCATCACCAGTTCAACACGAGGCTAATCCGGTCCTTATAAATCACAATGCAATGCTAAATAGTTAGGTTAGATTTTTGCATGAGGTATGTTCTTAAAAGGCACCTTAACACTTGAAAACACAAATATAATTATAATAGTTGTTGTTTTCTCCACTGAAGATTGAGATTAGAATCTTCCCAATCTGGAATAAAATAAGGCTTTTTTTGCAGACATTCTGCAGCTAAACGAAAGAAAGAAATCTATTTTAATAAACTGAAGTATTTTATATTTATTTCGCAGCATACATAAGGAAAAAATATGTGCATTAAATTTCGTGATGGTATGTCATCTACTAGACTACTAATGCTAGAATACTACTGCTATAATTAATTTCAGGATTATGCCAGAGAAAATTTCCTGAAATTTGGAAATATTATTTACTAATAATAAATAAATTTAGAGGGAAGAAGCAACATTAAATTATATGAATAACATAAAAATAATTACTTAAAAATTGAATTAGAATAATCAACGATATTTTAGGGAATATAGTTATATTACATGGCTAGCCTAGATGACTGATTACTATTTTTTTATTTTACTGCAAAGTGGCAAGGTATTTATTAAAAAGAAAAAAAAAAAAAAAAAGGTTTAAAAAGATTTTGCGGTAAAATTCTAGTATACGGTAAGGCTTTGGCACGATTTTGAAAATTGTCGCCAAGACCAAAATGACCCGTTTACTGCGCATCAAGATGTCGCCAAATCCCATTATTATCTAACCAAACGTCTATGTAAAGAAGAAAAGGTTCCATACAAGTAAAATGCTATTACGCCGCTAGAATGCGGAGGGAAAATTTGCCAAGGGATTTGGCGACGGAACCTGGCGGCCAGAATTTCCCTCTCCGCGATGTGTACAGAAAATTGAGAAACACGTGTTAAGAAGAACGCTTTTTGACAAAAAGAAAACTACGAAAATCCGTTTTTAAATTATTGCGAAAAAATCCAAGAAGAAACGTTTTATCAAAGGACGTTTCTTCTTGGATTTTTCGCAATAATTTTAAAAACGGATTTTCGTAGTTTGTTTTTTCCCTGAAAATAACTAATCCATAAATTAATTTATTTGCGCCAAAAAATATTTTCTTTTCCATTAGAGTTTAACCACTTGCGCTAAGACTAAACTTCACGGTTGCGGTGCCGTGCGCTACAATATAACAAGCCGTAAAGTGTCTCATTTACGCCGCTCCGCATCTGCGAGTGCAATCCAGAGCTGTTACTCGAGAAATAAACAATCTCGTTGTTAGGCGTCGTGTGCACCACGTTATTTTCATTTTTGCGATAAATGCTTATCGACGTGGTGTTCACGTCGCTCGCGGTTTGAGACAAAAGCATCTTGACGTGCGTGGCACGTCTTTTTAAACGCAAGTGGTTAAAGAAATTTTAAACGATATTCATTTTATGAACTCTTGATAACGTGACCTTCGAACTTCGACACCGGTTTCGAGCTTTGGCAACAGATATATCAGACATGCACAGCTGTTTTCCCTCTATGATGGAACGGAGCCACAGCCACGTCTGTTTGCAGAGAGGTTTTCCTTTCTTTACAATACATATTCTTTGATTCTAACCTCCATGGTACCGTATACTAGGATTAAAACCCATTTTGTTTTATACGAGGACAGGTACTTTCTTTAGTTCATGCATTGCACATGCGATTCTCGAGAAATATTGGAAACCAAAAGTTGCGGGAAAGTTGCTTTGCCTTTCTAAAAGACAATCAATTGGAGCTGCGAAAATTGGCTCTATGCCAGCTACCCGAATGACACTCACGTGATACATAATTCGCCAGAAAAGTTACCTCTTCCGACGTCGGCGCAAAAATCGCTTTTTTTGGCGGGATCGTTGTATGAACTTCCCTGACTTTTCCAGATTTTGACAAAAATACTTAAATTCCCTGACTTTTCCCTGAATATTTTGGTCAATTTTCGAATTCCCTGACTTTTCCCGGTTCTCCAGGTTTTCCAGGTAGCGTGGCAACCCTGATTTAAGCTGAGGATCTAGAGAGAACAGGAAGACGAGTAAGGAGGAGACTTTCTGGCACGTGGTGCCGAGCTGTTAGATTTTTCCAGCTGTCTTTAAAAAGTATCATTCCAGCATTTTGCATTCTGTCACAGCTAAGAATCTTAAAATATGCCAGTACAGTTAGTTAAGCTTGCTTAAAGCTTTTTTATTGCTTGTATACTCTGAGACTAGTTTTATCAATGTCTAACCCTTTCTTGGTGGTTATCATGCATACATGGCAGCAAGAAACACACTCTTTTCCCCAGCTGGCACACTGACATGCCACAGCATTTTCTGATTCATTTCCGGCCATCACACATTTGTGCCAGTATTCTGGAATGCCACAAGATGGCACTGTATGTCCATAGGATTTGTGATACACATAGATTTGACCTTTTACTTGAAATGAAAGAAACATGATTCACTCAAGGGAGGAGGGAAAACATAATGTAACAAATAAGGTTTAATTAAGACACAATAACACGCCGAATAAATACTAATTCAGAAGTCAAACAACAAAAATCAGCGTTAATTTACAAAATTTTCACAGGACTAGTTTCCAAATCCAAGTTCCAAAATATGGTTCCAAATCCATTTGCAAATCCATTTGCGGTTTTGCAGCTGAAGATGATGGTTCGGTAAAACCATCGAAACTAGTCCTGTGAAAATTTTGTAAATTAACGCTGATTTTTGTTGTTTGACTTCTGAATTAGTAAATAAGGTTTAGCTTATAATGTGATATAAACATTCCCATTTCTGATATCCCTCCAAATCATTTTTTTTTTACTACTTGTAGGGTTTTTTAGGGTTACTATGTGGGGTTCTGTTAAGCTTTGCATTGTTTTCAGATATTTTTCACATTCTTCCCTTTTTATTTTGGAAACCCTTTACTCTTAATTTATTATGGTAAGAAAGTGTTATTTATCAGAGGAAGGACTTACTCGCATACTAAATGAGCCAATTAGTGACATGGATGAGAGTGGTGCTTCACTTCCTAAAGTGGCAGTTCTAGTTATTCTGATATGAGCATACTGTCAGAAATTGAAGTCTCTGAGTACCTGCCTTCGACTTCCCATAAAAGATTTGTTACTTTATCTTGTAAATAGTCTTTCTTGTACTTTTTTTAATTAATTTTTAAGTTTATTAATGTGTTTTGTCAATTAAAATTTCAGAATAATTTGAATAGCTCAACTGGATATTATTTTTACTGTAAGCAATTTTTTAAACATATTTTAATGTAAAGTAAAGAAAATGGAATTAAATAATAATTTTAACATATATGATAGTTTTAGTAATAATCTAAAATGGTACCAAAAATTATGATATTAAGACTTAAAACTTTTTTTTTTTTTCTAAAGTTAGGCTCAGCGATACAAACCCCCTTTTTTTTGTCAGAGTATTTTCTTTTTTTTTTTACTCCTTTCTGTCCCTAGGAAATGCTTTAAACAAAGCCATGCCACCCTGAAAATGTTAAAACCTGCTGTTGGTTAATTTACATTGCCACAAGTAGTGGTTTATTTCAGATGTAGCAAAAATCTGCTAATTATCTAGTAAGGTTGTAGGTTTCAAATTCAAGTATTAGCTCAATGGCAATCTCACAACTCTAAACTACTGCTGCCAATGGGCTGGAATTGCTTTTCCCCCTTTCTTTTTAAACAAAATGAGAGTGACTGTATCTATGTATATACTGCACAACACTTACCCCTAATATAGGCTACCAGCCTTTTATATTCTGGTATTACACAAGATGTGCACCTGTTATGTGTAAGCTTATAATGTTAGGAAATTTTACTTTTAAAATTTAATTTGCCTCAACCATGGTTAAAAGGAAATTTTTTTCTCTATACATACAATTTTCTCCTTTTCTCTCTGGCTAAAATTATGAGATTCTTTCTTTTGGTTAAATTTTCTTTATAATCTGTTACAGATGTTATCCAAACATATATAAATAATAATAGTATCAATGCAGAAGTAGTACAGAGCTGCGTTTTTACAATTCCCTGATATTTTTTCCCCAGTGAAAACACATCATTGTGTACATGGGGATAACAACAGTGCAAAAAGGATAGATTTCTTGAGAAAAGTATTTTTATTACTGATGTTTCTTGCTTGTATATTTTATTGACAGACTGCTCTTGTATAAAATTCTTAGGGCACCACCATTTTGAAAATTGCTGTTGCCATTCAAACATTAGTTTAACAAATGATTAGTTACCAATGAGTTTGCAAATGTTCTCCAAGTCGACAATAAGTCTGTGACATTTTGGTGGCCAGCGTGAACAACTTAAATTTCTGTTGGTTACACTTCGTAGTTCGAACATAATCACAGCAAAATGTTCAAATTTTTTAAAATGAGGCTGCGAGCAGGCAGAATACCTTGCAGCATAACTAATGGTAAATGGCTGTCCCAGTTGATCGTTCCCTAAACTGTCACACCCTGTGTTCTGATCGTGTGCTGTGCGGTATGGATCATTCAATTCACCAGATATGTATGTGGTGGTCATTAGCATTAAGAGAAAAATATGATTTATTACTGAAGATCACATTTTCCCAGTTGGATCCCAGTTGTCCAGCTTGGGTGACAGTGGCACCAGGAAAGATGACACTGCTTACGGTGGAGTGTCAATGGCAAACGTTTTAATGGATGTCGAGATTTGAGCCCAACACCACCTAGGGCTTTACGAATTGTATCCCCTGATATCTCAGGATCTCTGCGAGTTGGCAAATAGTGTTGAATTGATGATAGCATAACTGCTGATGTGTATGTCACAGCTCTTCTAACTGCACAATTATCTCGCACACTGGTGGCCCAAGGATGTCCCAAGCCACTACAGCAACCGACTGTGCCTTCACTTAGCCAGCGGTCCCAGAAATAGAAAACAATCGTATCACTTCAACCAATATGCTGGCCTCTTTTACCCCTCTCAAAATCTGAAAACTGTTCATACTGCCACTGAGTATGACTTAAAGATATATTTCATTACAATGTCATGTATCCAAGCTGTTAACATCGTTAAAAATGCCTGCTGCTCGCTGCAACTGCCCTTTTATACTCTACCAGCTGCACACTCACTGTATCTCTCCACAAAGCTGATTGGTGCTGCAAGCTTAACCATTTGCACAACTCGCCAGACCACATTTGCATGGCATGTTTCATAGTTGTGCCTCAATTATTTTAACTTGCATTTTTTTTTTTTTTTTTTTTGCAACAGAATGCATTTATTCAAAATAAAATTTTATTATTTTTAATAAACTCAAAACTAAACTTCGTTTTTTTCCCTAATAGATTGCATTAAAGCTAATATAGTGCTTGTCAAGACAACAATATAACATATCACTATACATAAAATGTTAAAAAAAAAATGTTGGATTTGAAAGTTGATTAGTTTCACATAGAAAAGTAGCTACATAAGTTACTCTTCTTTCTTATAATAAGATCTGAAGTTAATAAAGCATACTGTACAAGTGGTCATGTTAGCAAACTTTCCACATAATCCATGCCCTATCAAAAGCTTAATTAGACCCAGTCTTACATACTCTGCTGAGACCTGGACAATGAAAAGCTAAAAATATCATTTCTACCTGAAAGAAAAATTTTGAGAAGTATTTTTGGTGGCATAAAATGTAAAATATCTGGAGAAGAAGAACTAACTCTGAACTCTAAAAACCTTTTAAAGAACTAGATATAATAAAATATATAAGGATTCAGAGAATTAAATGGGCAGGACACCTCTGCAGAATGGATGAAAATTGTGTAACTAAAAATATATTCTCGGCCACACCATTTGGCACCCGATAAAGAGGGAGACCTAAACTTAGGTGTCTCAACAGTTTGGAAACAGACTTAAGAATTTTAAAAATAACTAATTGGATGTCCATGGCCACGGATAGAAGAGCTTAGAATTTGATTCTGAGGAAAGCAAAGGCCCATCCTGGGCTGTCTGGTCATTGAAGAAGAAGACATGCCCAACAGATTAAAGCAAGAGGTGCCAAAATATTGAATTAGTTTATAGTATTAAATTAGTTAATATTTCTTTGAATTCTGTTTACCTAGTTAGGTTACTGTCCTCATCTGTCTCATTACAAGACAAAATCCTTTAGTGCTTGAAATGGGGTAAATTAGCTTAATTTCTACAGTCTTGACAGTTTCTAAATTCTTGTCACATTGTAGTTATGTAGTTAGCACATCTGGTGTGACAGTATCAGTGGCCACACCAACATGATTCAATTTGGGTATGCTGGCAGGTAAAGAAACAACTCAACATATCCCAAAAAAAGTGCTGACCGCAAGAAAATTTGAAAAACACAGTGTATATGTAAGCGAGTACAAAAGATATTCACATACTAAACATTTAATAGCATGTGAAAAATCTCAGTGCATGAAAATAATGAGACACTATGAACTTAACCCTTTAACTGCTGCGGAAAATGTACAAGATACATTTCCCAGTGCCACGGTTTTTCACACAGGCACGCGTAGTTATGCGATGTATTAGGGGGAAAATAAGTGCAAGTTTTACTTTCTTAAAACTGTTTACTTTCACAAAATGAAGAATAAAAGAAAAAAATGAATGCACAAAATTTAATGTTTTGAGTGAAAGTATAATAAAAAGATATAAGTATAATAAAAATGATGTTTTTATAATAAAAAAGATCTCCTAAAATAGGAGTTTCGAATCAATTCATTTTTAGACCAGTAAAGTGTAACATATCAAGGTTTCAGTGTTACACCTTGTGAAATCAGTATGCCTTAAAAAAAACACATATTTCTTCTGAAATGGTCGAATGCCACGAATTTTGTTCTTGATTTTTCGTGTTTGCAAGGTGTTAGTTCATATACTTGTCTGACAAAACAGTTTAGTTTCAGTAACAATATAAAGCCCGAGCAGTTCATCAAAAAATAATTCATAAAAAATTAATGGGTTTGAAACATCCGTTATATCTTTCTTTATTCCTGGAACATACTACAAAAAGTAAACAAAAACGGAGAACACAGAATTAAAAGGAAAATACGTTTTAGCACCAGCTCAATACATCAGCCGCAATACCGCACTTTCACGGCAAACATCCCCCTCTCCGAATTCCCTCCTCTTTGAAATAGTATCCTCCTTCGTATACTTTGTCAAGGTCATTGTGGTGTTGTATTCCAAAGCTTTGCGAAATAATTTTATGGGTAGCAGTGCGCAAGGCAAATTTGATAGTATTTTGGAAAGGCGTATATATACGCCCAGGGCAGTTAACGCATCGGCTGAGCAAGGCATATATATACGCCCGCGGCAGTTAAGGGGTTAAAAGAGTTTTAGTACAATTAATTTTGATGTTACCAAATCTAGTACTTTACAATTCTTTAAAATTACAAATATTGAAACAAATATAGAAAATATACACTTTCACAAGATAATAATGAATTTATTCTGCAATAATGCTTTAAATATTAAAAAACACAATGGAAAATTTATAAGTAATTTTTTTTAATTCACAGCAAAAGTTTATAAATTTATATTTAATTTTTTCACTATTAAATCTATTCTATGGGAGAATTACATAAACAAAGAAAAACAAATGAAACTTCCCCAAAGTAAGATTTAAAATGACAAATGAATGCTTTTTTGCATGAACAGTAATGTAATGTCCTTAAAATGTCAGACTTCAACAAACAACAATATTGTGACCCCGAAAAAGAATACATTCTATTTGGCTTTTCTAGGAGTTTGATTCAGCTCTCACATTATTGTTTATTTTTTATACATGTTATATACATTAGTAATTTTGCTATTTTTGAGTCAATTCATTATTCCTAATTAAATACGATATTAGAAATATTTAGATTATATTCTGATTTTAATAAGTATGCCACTAAATGAATGCAACTTACAGTGTATAATTTGGGCTTTGGTTTTAGAACTTAATTTTCCCTTTTACTTAAATTATATATACATCTAGAATGACTTGGAGAAATCTGCAACAGATTGCCAATGGGTCTTCGCATTGTAATAACTTGGAGAGGCTTTACTACATGATCAGAAAGATGACACTCGAAGGCAGATGTAGCTGTAAATTCCACACTTAACTTTATTTGATAATTAATTCTAAGGACACATGTTCTCTCATTGTAAATAGTGCATAGCAATGTGAAGATACATTGCTATGCACTGCACAATTTTATACATGTTATATTTTTCGAACAATGGACAGTAGCTAGCAGAGGCTAAGCAACATGTTTAAAGTTTACCATCAGAAATGTTTTAGTTCTCAAAATTCTGAGTTCAAGTTTTGAATTAACTAAGTCAAAGTTTCAGTTCAGGTTCCATATTACTACGTCATTAGTGTTATTAAATTATATGTACGGAATGATCTAAAAATCATTTTGATGCATTGTATATGCAAGCAGGGAGACATACAAGAATCTAAAAAAGAAATTTAAAGAGTTATTGCTAATTAAGTTAGTAATTTATTAGGGGTTTATTTTCTTACTTTACATTTTACACTCACACACATGCACATATATAATGACATTTACAAAAGTCAATTCATCAGAATATTACAGTTTTAAACTTGGGAAACTGCATAAAGCTTACAAAGATTAATTACAAGAACTAGATACTCACTGGCAATGTTGAATCATCTACATCTATCCTCAGAAGTTTGGAATTTACCAACTCTGATTCTTCAATCTCTAGTAAATACAATGTACATTAAAAAATAGATAAGACATAAAAAATATGAACATGATTTTAAGACAAAAAACATGATTTTAAATTTACCTTCTACATCTGTTACTCCTCTTTTACGAAGAACAATCAATTCTTCTATCTCTTTCTTCAACAGCCTTTCTTTTAAGGATAGTTGGAAAAAACTCTGAAATTCTTCATAAGAAAAAAAGCGAGCAAAAGATGCCAATTTGAGGAATTCACTAACTGCCTCAGTGTAGAAACTAAAATTATCAAAAATGCAAAAATTTTAATTCAAAAATAGTTTTTTAGATAATTTTAAAACATTAAAACCAGAATAAAATTACTAATTAATGAATTGTAATGAAGCAACAAAAAGGCATATTACTAGATAGCTGTATAAAATTCATGAATAACTCAAGGAACTTGTGTTATTTATATTGTCTCAAAAGGAATATTTTTGCTTTTATATAAACTTTACAGATTACATAACTGACAGTAAAAATTTGATCAAGTATATGTACACCTTGCACACACGCACACAAAACAAACAAAAAAAAAAAAAAAAAAAAAAAAAAAAGAGAGAGGGGGACAATTCTATATATTCCATTCTACTGGAGCAATTGTCAAAATTTTAACTTGTGTAGTAGTAGCAGAGTGTTGTCATTGCTTACTTTTAAATGGTTGAGTTTGTTAATAAAAAATTCATTAAAGTTTTACAAAATATGAAATCGATAATAAAACAAATTCAAAATTTGGGCTTTCAGATGCCCATATTCGCAGTAGGATTATGTCGTCATAACTGGATGGCTCTAGGTACCATTGTTTTATCACAATGCGAGAAGCATACATACATTTATGCAGAAATTAAAGAATGATTTTGCATTAAATTAAAGAATGAATCTTCATTCTTTAATTTCTTTCAATATAAATACAGGGTGATAGTATTTGGTGGCAACGATCTGAAAAGTGATACAGCCTACAGCCTTTTAACGTTTTCAACGTAAAACGAAAACAGTAGTCCTTCAAGGACAAAGCTCTGCTGGGATTTAAATACAGGCCAAATTATCAATGTTTGGCAATCTTAATCATTTCTCAACTAGGGGTAAAAAAATCATAAACTGTCAATTCTTAGGAATTAATACTTTTTTAAATATGACAATTTTTTTTATCCACACTGATAAAAAAAAATTTACAATAATATTATATTCTATTTATATGAAAATTTAAGATAACAACAGCATATTCACAGAAACTACTAAAAATGTGGATGAACATTTCATTTGTTTTAAACAAACTATTTCATTATCATTACCTATAGTTCCTTTTCCTCTTCAGTGATTCCTTTTGTGTTAGAGTATGACCAAACTGATAATATTGTTCAACTAATCTATATTTTTTAATTATTTCTCTTCTACGATACCTTTCTTGAACTCGTCTTCGATAAATCTGAACTACGGCAAGCTCCACTTCTGTAAATATGAATTTGATTTAATTACATCGTGTTTTCATAATATACATTCAAATATTAAATCAAAATAATTCTTCCTGACCTTTAACTAAGTTCCCATCATCCTTGTGAAATGGTTTCTGACTGAAATTGTGAAATTCAATTCCATCTAGAAGATATTCAGCATTCATGTCATAATCCTTAAAATAAAAATCATATGATTAAGTTGGAAAATACATTAGACTGCAATGCACAAAGACATTCAAAATACAAGAACATATATTTAAAATATAATTTTCTCCTCTACCAAATAAAAAAAGGAAACTTCTTGTTGTTTAACGCAGTACAGTGTTGTGATAGTAGTTCAACAAAACAATATCTCATGACAAATTCAGAGTCAGTTGATAATACATAACTTGAAAAATTGCAGAATGTAATTTAACATCAACTTCCGTAACAACATGACATGTAGCTTATCTTATTCAAGATCATTTAAAATAATTCTTGTAATTAAGTTATTATTTTAAATAAAAAATTATAATATATGTATTATAATATTAAGTGAATAAATATAAATTTTTAACTTTAATTTTTATTCATGACAATTAGACAATTTTATAATTTATTACATTACAAATAGATCATGCGACAATTAAAATAGTAAAATTATTACATTATTAGCTACATAATTCACTGGCAGAAATCAACTTGATTAAAAAAAAAAATAAATTCAGATTTAAATATTTTTTCTCAAAGGGGATTACCATTTTACCTTAATTTAAGCAATATGCATGTTCTCAAAATAAAACTATATTTTGAACTGAGAATATTTGTTAATTAATATCCTAAATTTAAATAAACTTTGCATTTACTAAAAACACATATCAGTTTTAGGAACTAATGATTTTTACAAATCTAAATATATTTTGGTTCTCTTGTTTTTCAAAACCTCAGAAAACTAAAAATTTAATATGAATTTAAGCTTTTCACATCATCACACTTTCAAAAAAGGATTTATTCCCTTCTATGGGAATAAATTTAATAAATTATTAAATGAAGGAATTTTTTTTATAAAATATTTCCATTATGTCTTCTAAATTTTTAGCATTACAATATGCACATGATTATGTAATGTGTTAGGATATATTAATCAGTTTAGATCACTCATTGTTATATGGTTGAATAACTACAAAATTCTTTACTTTACTTCTATTTTCAGAGAAATTATTTTCAAAATTCATATCATGTACAAATAGAAGATTTTCTTAGATTCTTTTATTTATCATTAGAACGTAAGTAGAATAAAGGGGGGAGAACCCACAATCCATAATTCCACGAATATCACATACCATATTCAGCTCCTGCAAGCAATGCCTTATTGGCACATTGAAAGGAGGATAAAAGGGTGAACTCATTGGCTCATTAAACTACAGACAACGCATAATGTTAAGAGCTTCAGCCAGCATTACTCATTGGTTTATACACAATTTTTACTTCCTTGTACGAAGTAAAAAGGAAGTATTGTAATCACGAAAAGTTTCAGGCAGCATATTTCAATGAAAATATCCATTTTGACCGCTATCGAATGCAATTTAACGATGTTTTTGCATGATATCTGGACGTAAGGACAGAATAAAAGACTCGTTTTCTCCAAAAAAAATTATAAACTGCTTTAAAATTAATTCTGAAGAGAATTTTTCGTGGCGTCTGTACGTACGTATCTCGCATAACTCAAAAACGAGTAGCCTCAGAATGTTGAAATTTTGTATATAGGACTGCTACAACATGTAGATGTGCACCTCGTATTTTGGTTGCAATCGGCCGCACCAAACGTATATAAATACTATATTTATATATATATCCACTCTGTTACTTGGCACAGTGATCTCAGTTTCTTTACTCTTATATGTTTATAAATTGTACATTTTTTGCTTTAAAAATGGAATTATGTTGTTCTTATCTTCCGGTTAAGGTTTTTATGCCATTCGTAATTCTGGAAGCAATATTTGTACAATTATCAACAATTTAAAAGCTGTTTAAGTGCAGTTAAGTTTTAAATAACATGGCGGGCATATTTGTTTACATTTGAAACAGCAGAATTGTAGATTTGTTGCCAATCTAGAGAGACTAAGCTTCGCAACAACAAAAATAAACGCCTTCATTTATTATTGCGAATTAAATCATGATTAATCCTTTCTGGAATTTTTCCGAGGAAATATTAAGATTTACTTAATTTTTAATAATTAGTAATTTTTAATACAGATATTTTGAACTTTTATGTATTTTTGTCTGGTCGCGAAGTGAAAACTGAATTAATTGAATGAGAAATACTGAATCGTCTGTGAAAAACTGTTTCTTTTTGTTTTGTTTGCTTAATTTCTTTTTTACATAGTTCTAGCTTTATTATAGTATTTGAAAAGAACATGTGGCAATGATTAGATTATTCTTTAAATAATATACATTTTGTGCATTCTGAGTTATAATATGAATGAAATATAATACTGTTAAGTGAACCTAGTGCCAGAGTGTCACTATGTTAAACAAATAGAGTGAATTTTAAAGAATGCCTTTATTCTATTGTGGTTTATGCGCTGTCGGTGAAGTAGATTTAATTAAATCCAATAAGTTTAAAAGAAATGCAAGAAAAAAATGCGTATAATTTAATATTCCGTACAAGGAAGTCATGTGGTGTACACATCAGATTTTTTTTTTCAATTATCTTTCAAGGTCAAATCAAAGGAGGTTGGTTCGATAGAAGGACAAAAGGGCCTGGTTTTGCATGAGATTAAGATCATAGAATACCAAACTTCACAAATTAGTTTCTTGATCCTGGCATTAATATTTGGGTGAGGAAAAAAATACAGAAAAGAGTTTTTACTTATTGCAGTTCAAGCAAATGAAATTTAACAAGAAAATGAGAGACAATGGTATAGTTGGCAATCTTATGTTAGCTTTGGTGTGCGTGCTAAATAGTTTTCATACAGGGTTCCACAAACTGTTCGGCATTGAGGTGCAAAACACATGCCTTGGCAAAAGCTGGTGAACGTAATGTTTCTTTGCTTTTATAAGCTGTAAATCTTAGTTTATTATTTTATTTATTTGTTATTACAGATATATTTAAAGATTTTGCAGTTGATTTCTGCATTAGCAGTTCTTTTCTTGTTACCAGCATTTAACTTAAACAGAATACATCTTTTTTCCAGTGTTTGTTTAGATTGTTCTTTCCATGCAGAAGTAATGACTGATAAATTTCACTTTCCATTTAATAATGATGCTTATTTTGCACTTAGATATTTTAATACCATGCATTTCACAACACTTTTGAACTTTGGAACAGGAATATTTCTCTTTGGAAAGTGAAAAAACATATTCTTCAATCCACAGTTTATTTACATGCAACATTTTGAAAGAATAATAAATTTAAAAAAGAAGCAGATGATATTTCTTATTTCAAATAATAAGCTACTGTGTGAAATTTTTATTCCAAAACACTTGCTTTAAAAAAAAAATATATGGAAATCATTCTAAAAATGTGTAAACACCCACTATAATAAATTGTAAACAGAAATGCAATAAATTACTTTCTTTTGGGCATTGAATAATTTTAGTTTACCATATTTTATATGCATATTTTATTTGCGTAAGAGCTGTAAGAGGATTGTGTGCACTATAGTCACACCTGCTATATACTGAACAAAAGTTCTACAGCAAGGAAGTTTAAATTACCTTTATAAAATCCTCCCTCAAAGGCATATACTGCAAGTCTTGTAAATGGTTCTCAGGCACATTTTCTGCTGTATAGGTGTCCTTGCTATTCAAAATAGAATCTATGGCAAATAAGAAAGTAGTTAATTAAAAAACAATACATAGCTCGTGTACATATTTTCACCAGAAGGTCAACTAGTACAGCAAAGTTTCTTCGCAAATATTATAATATCTCACTACATAAAAAAGCACATTTTAATGTAATTGTAGGTGTATCTCAAGTTACTTGTAATACTTCGGTTCCTTGGAACTAAAATACGAATGGGACAGAACCAAAATCATCACCAAACCCAGGCATAAAATTAGTTTCTAAATTAGAGAAGCACTTGAAATCGCCACCAAACTCTGTTGCAACACAGACCTTCTCTTCTGTCTTCCATAAATCTGGATAAAAATTCTAAGTACAGAAATCCTGCAGAAAGCAATAAAAAAAGATGAACTTGATCATCCACTCGTTCCAGCTCTAAAAGACAGAGCAGATGAGTTATCAGCGAAAGTTTCTATCTTTATATTTGCTTATGAACATTGTTTCAATCCGTAAGCCTAAAATTATTTTATCTTAATTCAGAAGTCAAACAACAAAAATCAGCGTTAATTTACAAAATTTTCACAGGACTAGTTTCGATGGTTTTACCGAACCATCATCTTCAGCTGCAAAACCGCAAATGAACAAGACAAAAAACAATGTTCAGATAAGACAAGAAAGCCTGGACAAGAATAAGCAAGTGGCGCCATCTGTTGGCGAAACCAGAACTAAAACATAATTTCTCTAAAAGCCAAAGGCAAATTTGGATTGGAATTAGGATCGTTAACTAGAACAGAAAGATTTTTATGAATGTGAAATGCCTCTAGAAAATCCAGTTCTCCAATGGAAGATGTTTTTTGAATAATTTTGGCAGCAGAAAAATTGAAAGTGTGATTTTCGGACCAACAATGTTGAGCAACAGAAGACTTCTGTGTTTCCTTTTTTCTAACATATGCCTCATGTTCTTTGACGCGAAATTTTTTTTAAGGCTCTCTTAGTTTGGCCAATGTAAATTAAACCGCACTGGCAAGGAATCCTATAAATACCCCAGGAATTCATATCCGGAATGGGGTCCTTGAGTATAGAAGTTGGAATTTTATTGATGGGAGAGTAAACAACCCGAAAGTTAAATTTCTGCAAAATATGTGCAACTTTATAGCTAATCGATGGAAAGAAGGGAATGACAACAGAATTTTTATAATCTCCTAAAATAAGAGTGTGGCTTTTAGTGTGTTGAGATGAGAATTTTCTGCTTGATTAATAATGTTGGGTGAAAATCATTCACCCAACATTGAAATGTTGTATGTTTATTGTTACATTGAAATGTTGTATGTTGTATGAAAATGTTGAAATGCAACATTGAAACATTGAAATGTCTTCGCAAATCATTTCAAGCAACTTAAAACATTCGCTTATCCCATCTGTTGCGAATTGTGCCAGATTATATGCTCTTCCCAAAATTCATAAAAGTGGTATTCCTTTCCGCCCTATTGTATCAAATTTAGGTACTGCCTCGTATCCATTAGCTAAATATTTAGTTTCTAGATTTTCCACTCTGTTAGACAATAACATTTACACCATAAAAAATTCAATAGAGTTTGTAAAAAAGGTTAAAAACATTTCTCCTCGTAATTTACTCATGGTTTCTTTTGATGTAAAATCATTATTCACCAATGTCCCAGTGGAGGGTGCATTAAGATGTCTAGAAACCAGACTTCGCGAATTTCATTTCTCTTGCATCGAAATTGATGAGCTAATTTCTCTCACTCAACTCGTTTTGAAACAAACAACACATTTTGTTTTCCAAAATAAATATTACAAGCAAACTGAGGGATTAGCCATGGGAAGCCCCCTCAGTCCCATCCTGGCTGATATCTACATGCATTATTATGAATCAAAATGTTTGAAACTTTAAACTTCCCGGCATGGTTCCGCTACGTAGACGATACTTTTACCCTGTTTGAAGGTAATAAAGATGATTTAAATAGAGTTCTTTTCAACAATGAATTCTATTGATCCTGCTATTCAGTTCACTTTTGAACTTGAGACTTGCAATTCTCTTCCGTTTCTCGACATTCTGGTCACACGTAACATATCCAACTTCAGTACTACAGTTTACCGTAAACCTTCATCGGTTTGCCTTCCACCACACTTTAAATCATGTCATCCGACTAAACAAAAGTTAGCTTCATTTTATTCCTATGTTTTCCGTCCTCTTCAAGTTTGCTCCTCCAAACTAGCCCTTGATGAAGAACTAAATTATTTAAAAGCAATAGCTATTGACAGGGGCTTTTTTCACCCAACATTATTAATCAAGCAGTTAAAAAATTTCTCATCTCAAACACACTAAAAAGCCACACTTCTTATTTTAGGAGATTATAAAAAATTCTGTTGTCATTCCCTTCTTTCCATCAATTAGCTATAAAGTTGCACATATTTTGCAGAAATTTAACTTTCGGGTTGTTTATTCTCCCATCAATAAAATTCCAACTTCTATACTCAAGGATCCCCCATTCCGGATATGAATTCCTGGGGTATTTATAGGATTCCTTGCCAGTGCGGTTTAATTTACATTGGCCAAACTAAGAGAGCCTTAAAATTTCGCGTCAAAGAACATGAGGCATATGTTAGAAAAAAGGAAACACAGAAGTCTTCTGTTGCTCAACATTGTTGGTCCGAAAATCACACTTTCAATTTTTCTGCTGCCAAAATTATTCAAAAAACATCTTCCATTGGAGAACTGGATTTTCTAGAGGCATTTCACATTCATAAAAATCTTTCTGTTCTAGTTAACGATCCTAATTCCAATCCAAATTTGCCTTCGGCTTTTAGAGAAATTATGTTTTAGTTCTGGTTTCGCCAACAGATGGCGCCACTTGCTTATTCTTGTCCAGGCTTTCTTGTCTTATCTGAACATTGTTTCCTGTCTTGTTCATTTGCGGTTTGCAGCTGAAGATGATGGTTCGGTAAAACCATAGAAACTAGTCCTGTGAAAATTTTGTAAATTAACGCTGATTTTTGTTGTTTGACTTCTGAATTAGTATTTGTTCGGCGTGTTATATTGTGTCTTAATTATTTTATCTTGTTTTAACTGCTAAATCATAAGGCTTTTTCTTCTTTGATTCCTATCAAAATACAAAAGTAACTATATACAAAAACATTGTCTTATGTTTTGAAGTGCGTTCTTGTTTTAACGCTGATTTAATTTACATAACCAAATGAACTTATTCTTAAAAGCTGGTTAAAAATGCATTTAAATTGCTAATAAAATTTTTCTGTTAATATGCATTATTTAGCTTTTCTCTTTAACCTGCTGTCAGACTAATCAAGAACATCATCCCTGGTACTATCCTGGTTAATCAGGAGTTAACTGTATTGATATAAATTGGATTCCTTTATGGGAAAAAAACCTCAGGAAGAAAAGTCACAAAAAATAAAAGCTTTAATTAAAAGGTGGAACTTTTAAAATCTATGTAAAAAATTACTAGGCAATAAACGGTAGCTTATGAGACAAAGCCATATACCTTCATATACATTTAATAAAATCAATACCTTTATATACATTTAATAGAATCAATACCTTCATATACATTTAATAGAATCAATGAACAGAAAAGATACAATCAAGAGATCTACCAAGAAACAAACATTAAGTAATATATGAAAATCTAAAATCCTAAAATAACAATCTTAAAAGTTGAGCATAAGCATAATTTAAATTGGACATTTATTTTACACTGTTAGTTGGAACTGTTTTAGAATTATGTTCTATCATAAAAGGTGCTAGTATTTTTATATAAGCAGGCCCCTATTCAAAAAGACAGAAAACCCTCACAAAATTGGCTGGGCAAAAGAGTACCAATACAGTATCCGCCGTTTATTAAAATTATTAAGCAGCTGAATTTAATAGACTGTGATTTGTATACTGAAGATTGTGATATCAGCTTTAAATTTGCATAATAAAATAATAACTAACAAATAATCTAATAATTAAAACCCTAATATATTAATTAAAATGTAATACTAAAATTATACTACTTATGCAAATTTGAAAAAAAAAATTAACCAAAATATTTTCATAATTATGTATCTAATGAAATTTTTAACTTTTACAAATAATTGTTCTGTGTGTGTGTTTATTTCATATTTGTTTATCAAGAGTTTTCCAGTAATATTCTCAATTTGTAATATTGGTGGTAGCTAATCTGATCAGCATCTTTCAATGTTCAAGAGCTTTTAAGAACTTATACTGATTTTCTAGATTCTATTGATGTTGATATTTCTCTATAATACAATAATCAGTTCTTACGCATATTGTTTCACTATTATCGCCAATTGAGACATATTCTAAAAACGAATCTTTATAACTTCCAAAATTGAAATATCAGATATAGCTAGCACATTTTTTTCTTAGTTCTTCTTGAACTATATTAAGTTATAATTATCTGTTTAAGTGAACTGCACAATGTTGTTTAGGAAATTCCTTGTTTAAATGCAGTTTTTCTTTGACTGCACTTACAAAGACCATGATCTATTAAAAAGTTAATTTTTTTTTTTTCCAGGCTTCAATATTTCTGCTTAAGCATTTTCAAAATGTTACATGTAATGCTTGAAACAAATTAAAAAAGTATTTCTTCACATGGTTTATTCAATAACAAAACTCATATGTCTCACAAGCAAAAAATTTGCACTTTGTCTTTTGAGTCGCTGTGCCACTTCATGACTATAAACACGACCAATGCTTTTTTTTTTTTTTTTTTGCTATTATTTCAGTCTACAGTTAGTACTCAAATTTTATTCAAATGTAGTATAATTCTTTAACAATTGCAGCTATTTTTATCCTTGCACTATATATTTTTGTCCTTGCACTTGAGTATTTCTTAGCAATTTCGCTATTGAAAAACATTTCTTCTAAATAAAGCAGTAGCATGATCCAATATATGTATTAAATATTATATATAATTTTATTCAAATGTAGTATACTGTATAAATGTAGTATTCAAATGTAGTAATGTACAATAATGCTAGAAAGCATTT